TACATAGCATTGTACTGGGCTGGAAAGAGGTTGTCAGCCAGGGATTCCATTTCTAAGGAGCACAGATGCGGCTGGAAAAGGGGACTGAGGAACTCACTCCTAAGTGAGCTAGCGGGGGCTTTGGATGGTAATAAGCAATGAGTCCACTTTACATCCCAGTCGGTGGTTCTCAACCTTCCTAATGCTGCGACTCTTTAATACAGTTCCTCATGCTGTGATGATCCGCCAACCATAACAGTATTTCCGTTGCTATTTCATAACTGTAATTTTGCTACTGTTATGAATCATAATGTAAATATCTGATATGCAGATATATCTGCTGTGTGATCCCTGTGAAAGGATTGTTTGACCCCCAAAGGGGTCACAACATACAGGTTGAAAACCAGTGATCTGAATGAATGCTGTATGACTGAATTATGAATGAATGCTGTATGACTGAATTATGAATGAATGCTGTATGACTGAATTATGAATGAATGCTGTATGACTGAATTATGAATGAATGCTGTATGACTGAATTATGGCCAATAAAACATGTATAGGAATCGTGTATATCATTTCCAGCTCCATGAAAACCTCTTGCACCGTCTCCCACATTTTTTCTTACTCTAGATAACACACTGATACATGTTAAAAATGGAAGAGCTGGGACTAGTGATGTGGCTCAATAGATAAGGGCAAGTTGTCTCCAAGCTTGATAATCTGAGTTCAATCCCCAGACCCATATGTTGGAGGGAGAGAACCAACTCTTACAAATTGGCTACACACACCCACACACACACTAAATTTTTTAATGTCATACTTCTGAGTGTAGATCTCTGGGTGACTGAAAGGATACCACCCCCATGAATCACCACCATGGCTGCCAGCCGATCTATATGCCAGTAAAAAGTCAATTGCTCCATTAAACCACTGAGGCTAAGGCAAGTCTTATGGCAGCTGGTGCCAACATAACCTATTCTGAATTAGTTACTGTTAGCTCTCAGGGAGTGCATGTGTTCAAAAATGACAATCTTGGTTTAAATCAAACTGAACGCTAGATTTGTGGAGATTGGATAAAAGCCAGTATTCCTCAGGAATTTGAGAAACAAGTTTCCTTTAGGCTTAGAGTTAGGGTTAGGGTGTAAAACTATCCCTGCGACAAATACCCAAGCCCAGGTGCAAATACATGAACTGTGGAAGCAGTTTCCTTTGACATACTACTCGTTGAACCTTGGACAAATCACTTAACCGCTCTGCTTCCCTTTCCTCCTGGATGCAAAAAAGAAATGTCAAATACTTCTTAGGAACTTATCACAAATTAGCATTAAGGAAACACATAGCATAGTGTCTGGTACACAGAAACAACACATGCCCGAAGATCAAAAATTTTCAAAACTGTTTCTTCTTTTAACCTTTCAGATTTTGGTTTGGTTTGGTTTGGTGTTTTTTAGAGAGTCTCGTGTAGCCAAGGTTGGCCTCAAACTTACTGTGTAGCTAAGGCTGTCTTTGGACTCCTGATTCTCACCCGGGCGGTGGTGGCACACGCCTTTAATGCCAGCGCTCAGGAGGCAGAGGCAGGCAGGTCTCTGTGAGTTCATAGGCCAGCCTGGGCTACAAGAGCTAGTTCCAGGACAGGCTCCAAAGCTACAGAGAAACCCTGTCTCAAAAAAATAAAATAAAAAATAAACCTCCTGATTCTCTTGCCTCACAAGCACTGCAATTACAGACTCGAGCCATGCTGTCCAGTTTTCCTAACCTTCCATCTGGTGACTGACAGCCTGTGCCCATGACTTTAGCCCTTTGGATGTCCTTTCTTTACTACATGAGCTTGTCCCTGGACACGAGACATTTTCAGAGCACGTTCCACTCAGGCCAGTAGGTACTTTGACCCTTATGGATTTGGGGTGTATTAGCTTTAGGTGGATCATTAACTCCAAGAAGAATGGTCACCCCTGGACCCAAATGTTTTTTGCTTACAGGCCCGCAGAAGAGATTGCTCAATCTACTTTCTGGACATTTCTGTGCATCTATTCACCTATTTGATAAATGCTTGAGTCCTATATCAGATATCATTACCAGGCACCATAGCCTAACCCAGGATTAGAATGGTGAAGGTTTCTTCTTCAAATGTTCATGGTTAAATTGGGAGAACAGAAAGTTCCAAGCTAGACTGAGTGCATAGCAAGACCCTGTTACCTGACCAAAAAAAGAAAAAAAAAACTAGAGAAAGGATAAAATCCAAAGATAGTCAATAGAGCAAAAATCAATGAAATAACATGAGTGTACAATACAGAAAAATCAACAAAGCCAGAAGTTTGTATGTAGGAGCTGTTATTTACATGTATGTGTGTGCCTGTTTGAGTCGTACACTATGTGAGTGTAGGAGCTTTGTCGGTCTTGGAACTCTGTAGACCAGGCTGACCTTGAACTCAGAAACGTGCCTCCCCGTGCTGGGATTAAAGGTGTGCATCACACCACGCCCAGCTAAAGAGAATTTTGTGTTTTTAAATCTCCATTTCTAACTTTCCATGGGGGTGCTGGGAATCAAACTTGAGTCCTCTGGAAGAACAGCCAGTGTTTGTAACCTCTGATCCACCTCTCCAGCCCCTCTGCTTGGGTTTTGAAATCGGATGCCAGAATCTGAACTCAAGTCCTCATACATGCACAGTAAGCGCTCAGCTGACTGAACCATCTTTCAGCCTCTACAGGAATTTCTTAAAAGATGATATTTGGCTGAAGTGATGGCTTAGCAGTAAGGACACTGGTCGTTCTTCCCGAGGACTCAGGCTTGATTCCTAGCGCTCATATCCATTGGTAACTCCAGCATCCCGTGGCCTCCACAGGTACGCATGTGGTGCATAGACATTCAGACAGCCAAAACGCTCAAACACAATAAATAAAAGACAATACTTCCCTATACTCATATTTAAAATATTAGAAAAGTATGACTATTTCTATAGCTATAAAAATCAATCTGGGTGTGGCGATGAACATCTCTAATCTTAGCTGCTGGGGATCTTGAGGCAGGAGGATTATGAATGTGAGGCTAGTTTGGGTTTCGTAGTGCGATCATGTCTCCGAGCAGAAGTGAAGGACTGACCAATTATTCTTTGGTGCAGCTCTTGCCTAGCACGTCTAAAGCCCTGGGTTTAATCCAGGGTACCCCAGAGAGAAGAGGGGAGGGGACAGAGCTTAGTGTGTCATTGAAAACAAACAGAGCTCTAAACTCAGGGGAAGTCATCGCTGATGCCTTATGCACATATAAGGAAAAGGGAATTGCTATTTTTATGTAACCTTTTCCAGAGAAGCAGAGGTAACATTTTTCAGTTCAGAAGTCCTTGCAGTGTTAAAGCACAAGACACACAGATATGAGAATGAAGAGGAACTGCAAGATTCTCTCTCTCTCTCTCTCTCTCTCTCTCTCTCTCTCTAAAAGAGGTGTTTTCGTTTTTGGTTGTGTTCAATAAAAGATATAAGAATGTATATCTTAAAAGCACCGAGAAGAAACTTAGATTTAACAAAATAATTTAGCAAAATCACCAGGTTCAAACTCAATGCGCAAAGACTGTGAGGTTTTTCTAATGAGTCTTTTATTTATTTTTTTAAGATTTCTTTTACTTTTAATTATCTGCATATGCACGCGAGTGTGAGCACCCACGGAGGCCAGAGGTGTCGGATTCTGCCTGTTGCTGGAGCTGCAGGTGGTTGGGCTCTCTGACATGGATGCTGGAACTGAAAACTCTGATCTTCTGGAAAAGCAGAGTTCTTAACCACTTTGTCATCTCTCCAGCCCTATTTGCTTGTTTTTTTGAGACAAGGTCTCTAGCCTAGTCTGGCCTCCAATACGATTTGTAGCTGAAACCTTGGTCCCCTAATCCCACTGCCTCCACCTTACAAACGCTGGGATTTCAGGCAGGCGCTTTCACACCAGGCTCTGGTTTTGTTTTGTTTTGTTTTGTTTTCAGATCCTAGCAGCACATATAAAATGGAATTAAAATTTTGTTTCTGGCGGCACTATCTGTAAGAATTGAAACCCGGTGCCACAACTATCAGGGTGAGAGATGGAGTATTCTCCAATCACACAGTATGGAACAATATGCCACTCAGAGAACTGGCCGACAGCTAGCTACACACCTCTGCGTAGGTGAATCGCACCAGTTTAACCTGGAGTGAAAGAAGCCAGACTTTTTGCATTGTGTGATTTCATTTCTACAGAGTTCAGAAATGGGCAGACTTTAGTTTCTGTTACAAGTCCAGGTAGGAGATGCTCCGCAGGGAGTCGAACTCCTAACGTGGGGCTGGTTCTGCGGGAGGCTGCTCAGTAATAACTAATTCTGCTGTGCTTGCAGGATTCCTTGTAGACCTACTATATTTTAATTAGAAGATTGTTTGTTTGTTTTCTGGTGTTTTGAGACAGGGTTTTTCTGAGAAACAACTCTGGCTGTCCTGGAACGCGTTCTGTATTCCAGGCTAGCCTCGAACTCACAGAGATACGCCAGCTTCTGCCTCCAGAGTGCTGGGATTAAAGGCATATGCCACCACTGCCCAGCTAATTCGAAGTTCTTAAAAGTTTTACTTAAAATTATCAGATTTTTTCCTAGGCAGAGATCATACCTTGCAGACAGGGATGCTTCTGTGAAGGCAAGAAACACTGCAAGGGTCGGAGTTGTGCCTGACCCAGGCCTCAACCAACCGAGACAACACTACCGGCGTGTGCTGGGACAGTGGGAAGTGCCACTGGCGCTTGGTGGCAAAACAGCAGGAGGACCACTGCTTGATCAACCCAGAGTCCTTAGGGAGAAGTGAGAATTCCCGAAAGAAAATTGTGTTAAGGTCGCATACATGGGCACACCAACTTTCCCTGAGAACCACTGTTTTCACCCAGGGACCCAGGCTAGCGGTCTCCAGCAGCCTGGGTTTCTGCTTGGCCAGATAAGGAAGGGATGGAGGGTGTGGCGGTGGCTATCAGCCCGGACTGGGACTGAAGAACCTTTCCCAGTAGGCAGATTCGTCAGTCAGCCTTCTGCCTTCTGGGGAAAGCGCACCTAGGCTGGGGAAAGCGCAACCAAGACACAGCTGAGAATGAGGTTGGTTGTCTGTGCCCTCCTATGCGCGGGGACCCTAGGTGAGTGTGCTGAGAGCCAGGCGGGGTGCCGGCTCTCTCCCGGGTTCTATGAGGGAGGGGACCAGGTGTCGCTAACTGGCCAGCCACCTCGGGGACCCTGTACTGTGTCCGGACAGACTATGATCCCAGGGAAGAGCAATCACTCGGGATTGGAATGCACCTGCCACGTACTGCTGTGTAACCCCCGGGGCTGCCCTTTGCCCTCTCTAAGCTGATTTCGTTGTGTAAAACTCCGGTTTGCTGCTTCAGCGGCAAAAGGCACCAATACCATGACTGATCACATAAGATCCCCAGAACCCATATGGTTGGAGGGAACCAACTCCTGAAAACTGTCCTCTGACCTCCACACATGGCATCCACATGATACAGGTATTTTTTAAATGTTGTGTTTACCGCTCCCTCCCCCCCCCCCCCCCCGAAAAATAGTTGCTGGAAGAATGAGGTAATGTGGCTAGAGGCAGGCAGAATTCTAAACACACACTAAGACAATGGGGATGTTCTATTGGGATCTCACCAAGGCCAGCTGGCCTAGGTCTGAAAAAGCATGGGATAAATCCGGACTAGCTGAACATAGCGGACAATGAGGAATACTGAGAATTCAAGAACAATTGCAGTGGGTTTTTGATCCTACTGCACGTACTGGCTTTGTGGGAGCCTAGGCAGTTTGAATGCTCACCTTACGAGACCTGGATAGAGGTGGGCAGTCCTTGGGCTTCCCACAGGTCAGGGAACCCTGATTGCTCTTCGAGCAGATGAGGGGGGGGGGGACTTGATCGGGGGAGGGGGAGGGAAATGGGAAGCGGTTGTGGGGACGAGGCAGAAATCCTTAATAAATAAATAAATTAAAAAAAAAAAAGAAAAAAAAAAGAATTCTAAACACATAAATGCCGGAGGCCCTTTCTTGGGCCGGGAGAGTGAGCTCCTTCCTCCAGGGAAGGACTCATGTGCAGAGAAGAGCCCTCCCTGGCTCAACCGTGATTGGATCTTCCTCCCCTTAGCTCTGCCTGGTCCGAGGCTGTGGTAAATGATATCTAGGGTAGACATCTTACTTGAGGTGGAGGGTAAACAGAGCCAAGCATGGAGAAGAGGCAGCAGCAATGGTAGGGACTGTGTGCCTACCTGCAGCACCAAGGGAGTCAGTCTCTCCCGGAATGCAGCTGTGCGGTCTCTTTCCGAATTCTCCTAAACAGGAGTTGTGTTCATTGTTCTTCCTGCCTCATCTCCTGGCAATGTTGGCACTGACCAAAAGCGCTCATTTTCCCAGAAGGCTTTGTGTTTACACATGAGAGACTAGAGATGTCCCTCTAGATCCCATTCCCTCATGACCTGTCTCCAGGCCACCAGATCAGGGGCTGGAGTCTGTGTTCCTCAAAACGCAGTGTTCCAGTCCAACAAGTGACAAAAAGCAACCAAAACAGCTTACCCAGGGGACAGATGACAGAAAAGACACATATCCTAAGCCTTGCCCAAGAACTTTCTCCATTCAGTGAGTGAGCGGAAGGCCACCCACAGCCCTTCCCTTCAGTCTGAAAGAGTCACAGAGTGCTCAGACCTGCCTCTTTTTGCTTTTGTCAGGTGGCCAGTGGTGGGACGCCGTTTACAACACACCTGTCTGTGTCAGCAGACTCCACCCACCCTTAGCTTGTTTGTATCCAGTCTCTTAAACACATTTCTATTTGTCAAGCCAGTGATGCACAGGCTTCGAATGAGTTTACCAAAAACAGAAGAAAGGAGAAGTAGAGTTTATTAGCTATACTGCGGTAAGGCCAGCGTGGGCAAGACGATAGAAACTGTCTGCACAGAGGTAGTCTAAGAAGCTGTGTGTGTGTGTGCACGCACGCGCTTCTATGTAGGCAGTCAGGCAGCATTTCAATGCTACAGTGTCCTGGAATAGTGGCAGTTGAGGATTATCAAGAAACAGCTTGACCTTGAGGTTATGATGATCTTGCTGTGATTTAGACGTGTGATTTAGTCCTAAAGTGACTGTCCACCTAGCTCGTTGTGCCCCACGAAGAAGGAGAGGGACAGCACTTATGGGTGCCAAAGACTTTACTAACTCACCACATAAGCGGTCACTGACGATCAGGGCTGCAGGACGAGGACTCGGGAGCCTGGTTTCTCCTGGCAGCCCCGAGCAGGGGCAGAAGCAGGGGTTATAAGCACAAAACCCACAACACATTCGCTGCCAAGTTACAGGTTACAATTTTCACCAATCAGGATTTAGAGATTAGAAGCTTCCTTGAGAGCTCCATCACTGTCACCTGACATCCAATGCAAGTCTTTCAGTCCAACCAATCAGATTCGTTTGTTCCTTCTGGGATCAGGAGCAACCATATTGTTTCTAGAGAGCTAAAGATGCATAACGGCTGCTTCTATGGCTTAGGGAGGAGGGTGGCCAGCTATTGGAAGGTTTCCAGCTCCCCCAGGGCTTGGGAACCTGAACTCTATTTCACCCTGAAGGTAAAATGGAGTCTGATGTCAATATGGCAGTGCTTAGGCCAGGTGCATGATGAAGTCTTCGTCACATGACAATAGTCCTGTTCAAAGGCAATAGTGGCCTTGCTCTGAGCCTACCCTGCTTTGAGACCAAAGCAGCTTTGTTCCCAGAATTCAGTTCTGTCTTCCCCACGTACCTAAGTTCTGCCCTATCAGCAGGTCACTGCAGTTTCTTTATTCATTAATGGTGTTCAAGCATACAGAGAGAAATCCCACATCGTGTGTGTGTGTGTGATTTATGTGTGCCATGTGTGTTATGTGTGTGAGTGTGTTTGTCATTATGTGCACCAGTTGTGTGCAGTGCCCCTTGGGGCCAGAAGAGAGCATCCGATCCTTTAGAACTGGAGACACAGTCAGATGCCTGGTATGGATGCTGGGAACCCAACACTAGCTCTGAAAGAGGAGCAAGTTCCTCTAACTACTGAGCCATCTTTCCAGTTCTATCAGCTAGCTCTCTAATACAACCCATGTCCATCTGCCTAGGGATGGTGCTGCCCACTGTGGACTGAACCCTCCCATGTATGTCATGAATCAAGACAATCAGACTTGCCCCAATCTGATCTCGGCAATTCTTCAACTTGGGATCTCTCTTCCCAAGTTTTATCAAGTTGGCAATGAAAAACTAGCCAGCACCATTTTCATCACTTCAGAAGAGAACTTGGCCCCTATCGAGTGAACAGCAATGGTTTCTTTCTCCCCTTAGCACATGGGAATGAGCAATTTGCTTTCTTTAGAAAAGAATTATCTTTTTGAGAAAGGATCTCATGCAGTCCAGGCTTGTAGTAATAAGGGCGGCGGGGCTGCGTCCCCAACACCCCAGCTGCCTGCTTGGCTAGCTTATGCCCCAAAATAATTACACAAACACTGTACTCTTTTAAGCACTGCTTGGCCCTTTAGCTCTAGCACTTACAGGCTAATTCTCACATCCCGATCAACCCATCTCTAATAATCTGTGAGAACCGGTCTTACCGGGAAGATTCTAGCCTATGTCCATCCTGGGTCGGACCTTCATCGCGTGTGTCTGTCAGGGAGCAGGGCTTGGCGTCTCTGCTGAGGCGTCTGCTCCCGAGACTGAGCTCACTTCCTCTTCCTCCCAGCGTTCTGTTCTGTTTACTCCTCCCACCTATCCTCTAACCAATAAAATGGGCCAAGGCAGTTCCTTTATTAGCCAATGACCTTCCTCCATCATTTCCCCTTTTTCGGTTTAAACAAAAAAAAAAAAAGGCTTTAACTTTAACATAGCAAAATTATATATAACAAAACAGTTATCAAGTAAAAGTTACAATAATCTTTATCATAACTAAGGAAAACTATAACTAACTATTCTTAACTCCATCAAAGACTCCAGAAAGATACAATACTACCTAAGCAAACAAGAAAAAAAGCAACTTTTAAAATTCTAGAAATGACAGAGACATCTCGCTGCCTGGACAGTCACCCAAAGTTCCTCTGTACCGTTGGGGCATCCATCTTCAGCCTTCAGGCCCATGGTATCCAGCAGACATTTCCATAAAGCAGGAAAATTCAAAGTCAGTTCAGTCACTATCTGTTGTGTCCTGCAGAATGTCTCGCAGACTCTTTCATGAATCAGGAACACCGAAAGATCATCTCACCTTAGGCAAGTTCAGTAGTCCTCTCTCTGCAGGTTCTCTGTGTCCAGTTTATGCAATAGTCCAGGCAAGAGCAGTTTCTTGCCCAAATGACTATCAAACTCCATAAGGTGCCTCTTCGATGCCCATCTTCCTCTTGAAGTACATTGGTGCTGCCAGGAGCAGAGTGTCTCATTGTCATAAAAAGTCCTCAGTTATTAAAACATTAAATGTCCTATTCTGTAATCTTTGAAAGACATGAAGAATGTCTATCTAAAATATATCTTTATATATCTAGAAAATCTAACTAACATGACTACAAACTTTACTATTATCGATGATTATCCATCAACAACCTATACTTCTTAATTATACAGTACATATTTAAATGAACTACACTATCACAATACCTTAATCAAAATCAGAAACACTTATACATATAACAAAATTGACCTTAAATCTCTATCAATAAAGCAAAATCTATACTAATGTAAATTATTCATATCTATATCATATCCCCCTTTCAATGTAAAAGGACGTTTATAAACTATATTTGGGAACATGGACGCAGTTTTTTCTCTCCAAACTGCTTCCTGCTGAATGGGGGCGTCGTTAATTAGGTCTTTCATGGCATAACCTGTGTGCTAGTTTCATCTCAGTTAGCAGTTGAGCAAAGCAATTTTTTGAAGGCGTGCACAGGAACCATTCAGGAGGACGTGGTCCATCATACCAAATCAGAATAGAAGAAATGAACAGCGTCTCATCCTCTGTGAAAACAAAATAAGAATCTCTTTTCCAAAGTATCATATCCTTAGATACAAATTCAAAATATCTATGTTGGATTAGTTCAGCAGCGTTTATAAACAAATATCTTTTAGCAGCTGTTGCTCCTTCCTCAGCATTCAAATAATTCAAAGAGAGCATAATAGCATACAGTGTCAAAATTCTCTGTCTATTTTCCATCTTTGTACAGCTTTGTTTTAACCTCTATTTCATTTATTTTTACTTTTAACTCTTTGCTTTTTGAGACAGGTTCTCTGTATCTTTGACCTGAAGTAACTCTGTAGACCAGGCTGTCTTTGAACTCTCAGAGATCCGCCTGTCTCTGCCTCCCAGGCATTCGGGATTAAAGGTGTACACTACTACACCTTGAACTCACAGAGATCTGTTTGTCTCTGCCTTCTAGGCACTGGGATTAAAGGCGTGTGTTACCACACACAACAACTCTCTTCCTTTTTTTTGTTTTTTACTTTAAGAACTTCAACTTTTAGTCTGCATATATTTTTAACACACTTTAAACCATTCAGAAATTTTCTCTGTCTATGAATCTCTCTTTACTGTATATCTCTCTTTTTCTGACCACATGAATCTTTAATTTACCAAGCAATATCAGTAGGATTAAAGGCGTGGCTTTGCCAGCTAGATCCAGTCCATTCCTTAGCTTTCCAGCCTCATGACGGATATACAGGCTGTAGCCATGTTTACTGCAACAACTGTATGGCATTTCAAGGTCCCTGCCAGCAAGTGAGCTACAACAGACAACACTCAAGTCCTCTCTAGGTAGCCGGCCCTCCTGCCTCAAACAGTCAGAGTTTGCCCTGGCAGGATGGCCCAGAAAGCCGGCATTTTTAAACGGCGCAGCTTTTTTCCTGCTATGGCTGAAAACCGAAAAGCATGTGTTCAGCTTTTCGTCAACACCGTTTAAGTGTTTCGTGGCAGGAACTCTTAATGAGCTGCAGGGTTTTGCAGCTAAAGCTGAGTCAGGAAGCCTCTCTCAGATGAAATGCTTGCTTGCCTCTAGCAAGCAGAGTAGATCCGAGAAATTGTCACTATCAAGAAAACATGCTTTACTCTTTCCCAAGCTTTTTCAGGCTTTCTGTGGATTCAGTTAGCCACACGTCTGGGTGTCATTTGTAGTAATAAGGGCGACGGGGCTGCGTCCCCAACACCCCAGCTGCCTGCTCGGCTAGCTTATGCCCCAAAATAATTACACAAACGCTGTATTCTTTGAAGCACTGCTTGGCCCTTTAGCTCTAGCACTTACAGGCTAATTCTCACATCCCGATCAACCCATCTCTAATAATCTGTGAGAACCGGTCTTACCGGGAAGATTCTAGCCTATGTCCATCCTGGGTCAGACCTTCATCGCGTGTGTCTGCCAGGGAGCAGGGCTTGGCGTCTCTGCTGAGGCGTCTGCTCCCGAGAGCAGAGCGGTCGAGACTGAGCTCACTTCCTCTTCCTCCCAGCGTTCTGTTCTGTTTACTCCTCCCACCTATCCTCTAACCAATAAAATGGGCCAAGGCAGTTCCTTTATTAGCCAATGACCTTCCTCCATCACAGGCTGACCTCAATATGTAGCTGAGCTATCTGCCTCCACCTGAAGAGCTTGTATTATGCACATGCACCACCATGTCTAGTTCATGTGGTGTTGGAGATCAAACCCAAGGTTTCTTGCATGCTGTGCAAGCATTCTACCAACTTAGCTACACCCTGGCTTTGTTTTTAGTTTAGTTTTTTTAAAGATATATTTACTTTATATGTGTGTCTGTGTCTCTGTGTCTCTCTCTGTGTGTTTTTCATGTACAGCTGTGGACCATGTGTGTACCTGGAGCCTTAGGGAGGTCAGAAGAAGGTATCAGATCACTTGGAGCTAGAGTGTCTTAGGGCTTCTATTGCTGTGAAGTGACACCATGACCATAGCAACTCTTATAAAGGAAAATATTTAATTGTGAAGTCTCACTTGCAGTTCAGAGGTCAGTCCATTATCATCATGGCAGAAAGCAAGGCAGCGTGCAGGCAGACATGGTACTAGAGAAGGAACTGAGAGTTCTTGCATCTTGACCAGCAGGCAACAGGAATTGGTCTGAGACACTGGATGTGGCTTAAACATATATGGGACCTTAAAATCCACCTCCACAGCGACATGCTTCCTCCATCAAGGCCACACCTACTCCAGTGAAGACACATCTTTTAATAGCAGCACTCCCCATGAGCTTATGGGGGCCAATTACATTCAAAATACCACAAGCAGTTACAAACAGTTGTGAGCCACCATGTGGGTGCTGGAAACCAAACCTGGGTCCTCTGCAAGAGCAGCCAGTGCTCTAACCTCTGAGCCCTCTCTCCAGTCCCTTAGTTTTTTGTTTGTTTGATTATTTTGAGATAGAGTGCTTCAGCCTCTAGGGAACTGGAATTACAGGCATGTTTTGTTTAGATATTCTGCGCAGATGTAATCGCATTGCCAGGAGCCCTTTTGCTCGGTTCTTTTACTTGCTGTTTTTTTTTTTTTTTTTTTTTTTTTTTTTACTTGCTGTTTTTGAGACTCATTCAGGCTTTAGAACATGACAGCACCCATCCACTCTTCCTCTGATGCACACTTAAAGGTCTTTCTGTTTAGTTATTGAAAATAATAGTGTTGCCGTGGGTATTTGTGTGCTTATTTTTTTTAGTCCCCATTGTCAAATTTTGAATATCTGTTTAGGTGTGGACTTTCTGTGTCATATTGCTAATCCTGTGGTTATATTTTTTGGAGATTTGAACTTTTTTTTTCTTTTTAAATATAAAGGAAAGGAGAGAGCAAAAAAAAAAATGGGTCCTGAGAATTCCCATGAGGAAAATAGCCAATTTAGTTTGTAGATGGCATTCAATCGGTTCTATTTTTTTAAGCATTAAAGTATTTATTTTTGATTGCACACACACAGAGACACATACACACTCACACACATTATGTGAGTTGTACATGTGAGTGCAGTGCCCACAACAGAGGCCAGAAGAGGGTGCCAGATCCCCTAGTGTTGGAGCTACAGGAGGTTATAAGCTGTCTGACTCAGGTCTGGGAACTGAACTCAAGCTCTCTGGAAGGACTAAAGTACTGCACCATCTCTCTGAGCTGTGGATCCAGCCCCCTTAGCCAGTCAGCCCCTCATCTTGTGTTCGATCCCTTCTGCCAGCAGAAGAAGGTGAGAGCCATGGGTCCCTGACATCTCTACTATCTCTCCCCTAGGGCTGTGTCTGGCTGTTCCAGAGAGGACTGTAAGATGGTGTGTTGCGTCAGATCGTGAGGCCACCAAGTGCTCCAGTTTCAGTGACAATATGAAGAAAGTCCTTCCTGCAGATGGCCCATCTGTTAGCTGTGTGATGAAAACCTCGTACCCCGAGTGCATCAAGGACATCTCGGTAAGTCACTGCTGTCAGCAGAAGAAAGTTTGCGCCATAATTTTTCCATAATTTTTTTTTGCAGGGAAGACGACAGCTGATCAGCACTCACCCGGAGCAAGAGTCATAAACTTAATCGAGCAGCTAATATGGGCTTCAAGTTTAGCAACATGTCTGCGACACACCAAAACCTAATCCACCAAGAGAATCTATAGAAACTCAAAAATAAATAAGAAAATTTCTCTATACAAAGCAGGCTGGCCCAGAACTTATAGACTTCCTGTTCCTGACTTCGGAGTGCTGGAACTAAGATGTGGATCACCATAGCTGGTGGGGTTTGCATTTCTAAGTGCAAAAAGCTGGTTTTTTAAAATTATGAAATTTGTCTCTGTGTATGTGCATGCATGTGTGTGTGTGTGCGTGTGCACATGTGTATGTGTGAGAGAGACAGAGACAAACAGAAACAGATAATGGGAGAGTAGAGACAGGTTTGTCATAGCCATTTGTCCCTATGCCATTGCAGAGCAGGTTAAACTATCTCAGACGTCTTTTTGCATCTGCTATTGGAATCTGCAGAGGAACTCAGGAAAGGAAGATGAGTGAAAGCAGGGAAAAGCCATTGTGAACTGGATTCCTTGGGGATGGTTGGAGTTCATGTCTAGTTCATTCATATTGCTTTCCATTTTCTTCCTATTTTCCTTCCTTCCTTCTTATATATATTTGTCTTTACTTTATGAGTGTTTTGCCTGCATGTATGTTGTATGTCTGCATACCATGTATGTGCCTGGTGCCCTCCAACGCCAGAAGGGGGCGTTGGATCCCCCTGAACTGGGGTTATGTGTAGTTGTGAATCATTACTGGGTGCTGAGAACACGGGTCCTTCTTAAGAGCAACAAGTAGTCTTGACCACTGGGATATCCCCAAAGCCCTTGACTTCAATCTTGACATTGATGGCGTTGACAGTGGTTCACAAGCTTAGTGACCTTGTTCTTTGACCTTTAATATTAGATGTGTCTTTTTCCAAGTTAATTTGAGTTGACTTTTGATATGTGTCTTCAGTGATGTCCTAAGTTATACACACAAATATGCATATCCATCATCCGTACATATGAAAACATATTATAAAATAATTTTGATATGGAATTTGTAAAGTCAAACAACAACAGATCAAAAACTGGTTTTTAAAATTACATCTGCATTTAACATGAACACACTCTTCATTTCCATTCATTGAATAGCACAGTGTGACAACTGTTTACCCAGCTTCTACCTTGGGTTAGTTTTACCCGTAGTCTCAAGACAGGTTAAAGTATATCAGGATTAGAATGGGGTGTGCGCAACTTCGCTCCGTTCCTATCAGGGATTCGAGCCTTGGTTGATATTTTACAGGCATGTCAAAAGAAATCTCCCTCAGACACTGAGGGATGGCCGTGCTAAACTACAACCTGAAAAACCCAGATTACTTTAAAAGCTAATTTAGAAACTGAGTCTGGTGGCCCAGGCCTGGAATGCAGTTAATGGGGAGGTTCTAAGGATTGCCCGGCCTACAGAGTCAGTTCAAGTCCAGTGTGAGCAACTTAGTTAACCCTTGTCTCAAGATTTAAGAAGTAAAAGAGAGCTGGAAATATTCCTCATGGGTAGAGCACTTGTCTAGATGTACAAGGTCCTAAGTTCATTCCAGTGCTGAAAAAAGGATGTCAATCACTAAGGGATAGAAGGAATGGTTTGCATTGAGGGTAGGAAATGACTCAACTTCATCTTAGCTTGTGAAGTTGCTGCCTCCTGCAGGGAGGAAGGAACCGTTGGCTGACCGACCCCTGAGACTCAGATGAGTTCTCAAGGATGGATGCATTCTGCGGGTCTCATACTGTGAACACATATGGATACCTGCCCTCCTAGCTGCTCACGTATGTGCTGAGATTAACCAGGGAACAAAACAGGCAGGTGTTCCCACATTCACAGACCTCGCAATCCAAGGATGAGGCTAGTGAACCAAGAGTCAGTTGGCTGAGGGCTGAGAAGGAAAACAAAACAGTTTACATGTGGTGGTAACTTCTTCTTTCAGCCCTCAAGAACCTCATGGAGTCGGCAGGAATGAGGAGGAAGAGGCCTGAGCTATGGGAGATTCTATGGAGCCAGAGTCTCTGGCAGGACACCAGAAGAGTCTTCCCTGGGGGTGATGAGTTTCACGCATGGCTGGTCTCTTTTCTTTCAGGCCAACAAAGCAGATGCTGTGACCATTGATGGAGCTTTGCTGGCTGAGGCTGGCCTGCCCCACCACAATCTGAAACCTATCATGGCAGAATACTATGGATCAAAAGACGGTGTGTTCTCGCTGGGGCCCGGTGTCACTGGTGTGACATGATGGCCACGGGGGTTGGCAGGGACTTTGTCAACTGTGTTAGTTACTTTTTTGTGGCGACAGAATGCCTGGCCAAAGAAACTTAAGGAAGAGACAGCTGATTTTGGCTCACAGTTGGAAAAGATAGAGTCCACCATGGTGGGAGGGGCATGACAGAAGGAGCGTGAGGCCGCTGGCCACATTGCATCTGTAACCAGGAAGCGGAGAGAGGAGGACAGTGAGAGAGACTGGTGTTCAGCCTACTTTCTTCTCAGTTTTACTCACCCCAGGACCCAGGCCACGGAATGATGCCACCCACATTCAAGGGGAGGGTCTTCCCTCCTCAGGTCAGCCTCCCTGGAAACTCCCCCAGAGTTGTGTCTCCTGGATGATTGCAAAGCTAGCCAAGTTGATGGTAAAAATTAACCGTCACACTAACATTACAGGGGACCAAGTCTCTGGAGCTCTTCAGCTTGGCAGTGTTGTTCACTGGCCCACAAAGGCTGCAGTGTTTCTCCACAGAAAGCAGTGGCTTTTGTGGATCCTGGTGGGAACAGCCTTGGTTCTGTGGTCTGTGGGATGGTCACATCCTGAGAGGGGTGTTATCCAGAACCTGTTACCCATCCCTAGGGCTGTGCTTTTCCTTACACTGCCTCCCATGGTTCTTATACAATACAGATCTGTGTCTGGTGTGCAGAGAAGCTCTGGCAGAGTGGATGAGGGGAGAGTTACCTCTTTCCACTCTTGTGTGTTACTGTTATCAGTATGTGGGAACACAGCCCAGCTTAGTTCGCTTCTAGCTTGCAGGTCCCAACGTATTCTGGGGCCAGTCCTCATCTTCCTCTCACATCTTCACCTTTGTGACTGAGCTGTAAGCAGAGACCCCGAGAATGAAGAAAAGGCCATATAGAAGCAGCAACAGTCCAGCGACTAGGATCTAAAGCCTGTGGTCCCTGGAACACCCACAAGTCCTGTAATGGAGCAGGCAAGCTTCTAGCTCTGCAGGCTTGAGGTGACTGGCAGAAACAAAACAGAGCATAGCAAAATGGCCCTGGAGGTACCCTAACCTACAATGGACTTACGCCCAGATCAAACCCATCGTAAACTCAAAATGTTGCAAGTCCAGATGCTTTCAATACAGCGAGTCAGGCAAACATCCAGTTTAGCAAGGTGGCGCCATGGACTAGTGTTTGTTTCCTGCCGTGAACACATAGTTGACCAGACACCATGGCTTACGGTCTCTGCCCAGTTTCTGAAGAAGGGATCTTCTTGCATTTGAAAGACCAAATTGGAAATCCGAAGGATCTACTAGCATTGGCACCCACCATAAAGTAAAGTTAACAAGTCTAGCTTATAAGTTAGGGAACATCTGCAATATTAATTTATTGCCTTGAAAGGGGTCAGTTCTCTCCTCCTGTCAGATAAAGGCATTTTCCATTTTTTTTTTGCCCTTCTTGCTAGAGGCTGGTGTGGGGGCCCAGGACCCTCTGAAGTTCCACATCGCGAATGCCTTGGAAGGTTTAGTTGTAACAATGCATTTTCTTTAGGCTTCTCTTTCTCTCTGCTCACCTGCAGATCTGCAGACCCATTATTATGCTGTGGCCCTGGTGAAGAAGGGTACAGGATTTCAACTGAACCAGCTCCGGGGCAAGAAGTCCTGTCACGCGGGAATGGGCTGGTCTGCTGGGTGGTATATTCCCCTCGGCAAACTGCTTCCTTCTGGCTCTCTGGAAACAGGTGAGGCATCTGGAGCTAGGTGCCCTCACTGGGTGGTCTAACTGGATTATGCTGGGGTTACACAGTCATTTATTTTGTTGCTATAAGGTACCAAGTAAAAGCAACTTCAGGAAGGAAGGACTTTATGGGCTCATAGTCTGAGCGTACAGTCCATCATGGTGGGTAAGGCCAGGCAGCAACAACTTGAGGCATTGCTGGTCCCCAGCTTGCTTTCTTCTTTTATTTATCCTGGCTCCCATCCCATCAAAGGTGACACCCATGTTCAGGGTAGATCTTCCCTCTTTAGTTAAGCTTTTCTAGAAACAGCCTCCTAGACACACCCAGGTGTGTGTTTCCACGGTGATTCCAAACCCAGTTGAGTTGATAAGGCAAGTTAGCCATGGCTCAGACACTGAAAAACACACGTGTCTTATGTTCTCTGAGACGGAGTTAGAGTGTGCACCAGTAGCTCACAGGAGCTGGTTGAGATTCTCCCAGTAGCAACGCTTCCGTTTCTCTGAGCCGTCAGTTTCCCCTTCCCAGGAGCCACAGCAGTCTGTCTTAGCAAGGCTATCCTTGAAAGACTCCAAGGAAGGTCACCTCACTCCAAACCTCCCCGGAAGGTTCTCTGGGGCTCGCAGAAGCATCACTAGGCCCTCAGGCTTCCATACATTAATGCGAGTGCTTGGGCAAGGATAGGATGACTGGGTTAATGCTAGGACACCCCTGAGTGCTCCAGGCTTCTTGAGCATAGGATGAGCCACAGTGAGCCCAGACCTTTTCAGCCCTTGAAGACGGTGACCAGATCCTGTACTCTGTGAAGGCCTGCCTTTTTTGTGCTGTCAACCTTTGCAGTGCTCATGTTGTAACAGGGACAGGGATGGGACAGGCAACTGTGTGGGTCTGACAGTCTGATAAAGGACTACAGCCTTGCGTCTTGACCTTTCTGTCTGTTTTATTTTGTTTTTGAGACAGGGTTTCTCTGTAGCTTTAGAGCCTGTCCTGGAACTAGCTCTTGTAGACCAGGCTGGCCTCAAACGCACAGAGATCCGCCTGCCTCTGCTTCCAGAGTGCTGGGATAAAGGCGTGCGCCACCACCGCCCAGCGCATCTTGACCTTTCTATGGTGTTCTCTTGCCTTGGTGACAGATACCGCTGGACTTCTGTCTGGGCAATAGGCAGTGGCTGCTAGCTTGCTTCTCTGCTGACTCACCAGCAGGATTTACCAATCCTCCCCTCGAATCAGGGATTCCATGAGCCACCACAGCCTCTGCATACAGAAGGACTGTAAGTGGGGTGGGCTCTTGTCTAATGCAAGGAAGAGCTATTACTGCATGGTGACTGGCCTACTAGGGTTCCTGTCTTCTTCAGTGTTCTGCCTGGCCCTGTAGGGGGCTGGCAATTTTTTTATTATTATTTCATGTACGTTGGTTTACCTGTATGAGGGTGTTGGATCCCTTGGAACTGGAATTACAGATAGCTGTGAGCTGCCTTGTGGGTGCTGGGAATTGAACCCAGGTCCTCTGGAAGAGCAGTCAGTGTTCTTAACCATTGAGCCATCTCTCCAGTCCTGGGGTGTTGGTAAATTAACTGGTCACATCTTGTTTCCATGTGGGTCAGCAGTTCTTCTTTTTCTTTTTTGTTTTAAAGATTTTTATTCATTTATTATATACACAGTATTCTGCCTGCACGTCTGCCTGCAGGCCAGAAGAGGGTACCAGATCTCATTACAGATCGTTGTGAGTCACTGTACAGTTCCTGGGAATTGAACTCAGGACCTCTGGAAGAGCAGCAGCCAGTGCTCTTAAGCTGTGGGGCATCTCTCCAGCCCAAGGGTCAGCAGTTCTTATCCCCTGCAGCAGACAAGATGGAGAGCATTTTCATAGGCTTGATCCCTGAACACGCATAAGCATGCATGGTTCTCAAACACACATGGCCCCTGGGTCATCCATCCATCCATTCGCTCTGGCCTGGGCATTGCCTGCCACCCACGGCAGACTCCCTGCACATATTCACTTCCTAGGAGTAGTCCTGGGGGATGTCCACAGACAGGACACTCTCTCACATGTACAATCCGATGGCTTTAGCCAGCTCACACCCTGTGGCCCGTGTCTCTGTGTTGAGCAGCAGCAGCGACGTTCTTCTCCAGCAGCTGCGTCCCCTGTGCGGATGGAAAGACGTTTCCCAGCCTTTGCCAACTGTGTGCAGGGAAGGGGACAGACAAGTGTGCCTGCTCTTCCAGTGAACCATACTTCGGCTACTCTGGGGCCTTCAAGTGAGTGAGAATCCCTTGCTCTGGAGCTGGGCATCTATGAGTTATTGTTCTTGTAACTGTGACCGAATACCTGACAAGAAACAACCTAAAAGAGAGAGTTTATTTTTGGTTCACAGTCTGAGAGGATACAGTCCATCGTGACGGGGAAGGCCTGGCAGCAGGAGCATGAGCCAGCTGGTCGCGCGGAGCAGGGGAGACTGGTGCGCCGCTCACTTCCTGCTTGTTATTCATTGCTAGGCTCCAACCCATAAAACCGTACCATCCACGTTTAGGGTGGGTCTTCCCACCTTAATTAACCTAGAAACTGCCTCACAGATATGACCTTTGTTATATGATCCCTAGCTTGATAATGCCAACCATCATAGAGAGACAAAGGCACAGGATCAAACAGGACAAACCCCTGGCACCCAGATATTCTGAGTCCCTCCCATGGCCTACCCCTGTTCCTAAACATCCCGAGGAACAATCTTCTTTGTGGGAGACCTCACTATCTCCCCAAAGCTGGGACCATAACATGCTGTTCTTCATGATAACCTAAGTGCCAGGGGAGGGTGGTCCAGACTCATCTCTGGGGACTGGGATTTGCAGACTCGGGCCGGCCGCAGGAGCTTCCCAGCTAACCACCTTTGGTATTTTGCCCGTGGCTTTCCATGCTCTGTAAGAGAAGAAGGTGACTGCTCAAACCAGAGCGGACTAGCTGGGTTTTGGGGCTATCTGATGACTTTTAAAAGCCAAAATCAAGCCAGTGGCTTGGCGCTGCTCTTTGAGAGGCAGGCAAGGGTCCTGTCTGCCTTGACATCCTTCTCCAGAACTGCCTGTGATGCTGGTGTCCAGGCCTCCTGCCTGCTTCATGGCTCAGCTTGGCGGTGACGTTTTAAAAGCTTCAGATAAGGCCATTGCCTCTCTGAAGACAGATGGATGCCTGAGAACCTGTGAGCAAGGCCCCACCAGATCCTAAGAGGTGTTGCACAAGAGCCAGGTGAGGTGTGTTCCCAGACAGAGTGCCTGACCTTGTCTGTCATGTTTGCAGATGTCTGCAGGATGGTGCGGGGGATGTGAGCTTCGTGAGGCACCTGACAGTGTTTGGTAAGTGCTGGACAAAGAGGAAAGCGGGCCCCAGCCTGGCCAAAGGCTCGGACTCTGTCTCACTTCTAGAAGAGAATGATATTGAGATGGTTAATGCACAGAAGGGACTTTAGGAAAGCATTCCCCCCATTCCTGCATTATTTAGGACCCCACTTATTCTTCTTAGCTCACGTCTGCTGACCACCTCCCTATCAGGGACCTGCACCCACCCCTCCCCTGCTCTCTCAGCTAACCTATAGACACCTCTATAAATCTAGTTAACCTGATTTTTGGATTGCTATTTGCTACTTTCCAATAATAAAAGAAGTTGTTTCTGCAATGTCAGGAATTAAACCAAGTGCCTTGTATGCACTAGACAAATGCTTTACCCCTGAGAAACACCCCCCCCCCCTTATTTTTAATTTAAAAACAACACAGTAAACTTTTCCACCATTTTGGACAATTTAGCTCAAACAAGCAAAGGGCAATTTCAGACAAGTTAATGTTACATATTCTTGAACTTTGTGTGTGTGTGTACATACATGTGCATGCATGTGTTCACGTGTGTGTGTAAATTCTGTGCACTGAGCCCAGAGCCTCATGCATGCCAGGCAAGCACTCCATCACAGAGTTTCATTCCTAAGCCTTCTTTAGCTTTTCATTTAATATTTTTGGTCTCTTGAGACGAGAGCTCACTAAGTTTCCCAGCTGGCCTTCAACTCATTCTGTAGCCCAAGCAGGCCTCAAATTTTCTACCCTCTTGCTCAACCTCCACAGTAGCTGGGTTTACAGATAAAAAGCCACTAGGCCTGGACAGATTCTTGGTTTATATCCAATTAAATATCAGATACAGACACACTATGCCGCTCAATGTTTAGCTCAATGCTTAGTTCGGCTTTATAACAAACACTTCCAGGAAGCTTCCAGGTCCTCACAGTTTACCCTGGGCTTGGTTACAACCTAGATGCCTTCCCCTGTGATGACGTCAGCATCCTTTGCTCATTTGCTCAGCCATTCACAGTTCACCTTCACATCGCTGCACACTGGACTGGTGTGTTAGCATTTTTGAAATTGGGGCGTGTCCTATTATCAACTATTTTCATGACTATTTTTGGCTCTTATCTTCCAGAACCAAGATGTCTCTAATAATTATCGTTGTGGCTTTTGGATGGCTGTGTTACCATGGTTGTACCAGCAGGTGGCATCTCCTAGCACTTACTACAGAGATTTAAAAGACCCTCCCTCTGGGAAGGAGCAGGCTGTCCCAGACCATTCTGGTTTACCTTTGCAGAAAGTCATTTACCACAGTAGTAAGACCTCCCCTTGCCTTCCAAGGAGAGTTTTCTGAAACACTCCTCCATGTGGGATGTAAGTGACTGGCGATGGTAAGCCGGGGTCCACCACCCTGGCAGTGAGTGAGGCAAAAAGGCATTTTCTTCCTGAGGTTGTTAGAGCGCATGGATTTCCTTTTAACTTAAATTTTAATGTTACTAAATTACTGAATATTCATGGTCTGGCAAGGTGGTACATGGGAAGCAGAAGCAGGAGGATAATGTGAATTTGAGGCCAGCCTGGTCCACATATTGAGTTTCAGGCCAGCCAAGGCCTCGATCCACCTGCCTCTACCTTAAAGGCATGTTCCACCACACCTGGCTCTTTGGACTTTTCTAAGTAGTGTGATTACAGGTGAGTGTTTCCATATTCAGTCAATATTTTTTTAATATAAAGATTTTACATGTGTTTTTTCTGCGACACATTGAATTTATGATAGTTCATAAAAAAGAATAATGATCTCCAAAATCTGATGGTAACTCCCTACCTTTTTCTTGCGCCCCCTTTCCAGTACTGGTTGAAATGAGGGCTTTGCACGTCCAGCAGGTGCCATACCACTGAGCCTTGTACTCCCGGCCCTCTTTTTACTTCCTTCATTTTGAGACACGGCCTCACTAAGTTGGCTGAGTTAGTCTTGAACTCACTTTATTGTCCAGGCTGGCCATGAACTTGCAATCCTCCTACCTCAGCCTCATGAGTAGCTGGGATAGGCCTGCACTACCAGGCCAGCTCCTCCTCTTTCGGTATAAGACTTTTATCAGTCCCAAAGACTGTGTTCATTTTCCAGGCCTGCCAATACAAAGTGCCACACGCTAGGTGGTTTAAGCAATAGAAACACGTCATGTCCTTCTCCTGGAGGCTGGAATTTCAAGATCAGGGTGTCAACAGGGCTTGTTCCTTCTGAGGATATGACGAAGACTCTTCCGTGCCACTCTCCTGGCTGGCTGGCCATCACTGGTGTTCCTTGGCTTGTACATACACATCTTACATCTTCACTGTCTGACTTCATGTTTACATGGCAGACTCCCTGCATGCACACCTCTGTCCCATTTCCTCTTTTCACCAGTTGTATTGGGTTAGGAGCCCACTCTATTCCAGTATGATCACATCTTACTGGTGGACATTTGTAAGGACCACTTTAAAGTAACATCATACTTGGAGAAACTGGGGATTAGGACTTCAATTTGTGAATGCACTGAAAATCAACATGACGTTAGAGGAACCTGTTCTTTGCACCTGCAGAGTTCCCCACTGGGACCCTAGCCTTCTTTTCACCATTGACTCTGTCATTGCTTTTTCCCAGCAGGCTCTGTTTCTGGAGAACTTGGTTGCTTTTGTGAGGGATGTTGGTTGCCCCAGGATGGCAGCACCAACGAGACCCTGATTCTGTTTCTTCACGTCTCTAATGTGATCATTCCATATCTGGCCTTCTTTAGGTATAAAGAGGCCTGAGCAGCCGTGAGCCCTGTGTACAGTCGTGTGGGCGGTCATTGCTCAACGTGTGTTTGCTGTCACCATTTTTATTTGCAGAGTTACAGGGGAATGGGCAGCTGGAGGGTGCCTTGGCCAGGTGTGGTACCCAACCCTGGGTGACCTGCAATGAGAGTGTAAACCAGTTGTTTTCCCTGCTGAGTCCTCTGCTCTCTCACCTGTGTAAAGCATGTTTGGAAAGGATTCTGTCCCCTTCAGCCCACTCGCTCTGTGGTGGTGGGCAGAGGTCAGTGCGGCTCCTAGCTCATTCTGCTCACCTGAACTTTCCCTCCTCAGAGGTACTGCCACAGAAAGCAGACAGGGACCAGTACGAGCTGCTCTGCCCCGACAACACCCGCAGGCCAGTGGAGGAATACGAGCGGTGCCACCTGGCCCGGGTCCCTTCTCATGTTGTCGTGGCTCGCAGCGTGGACGGCAAAGAGGACTTGATCCAAGAGCTTCTCAGAGTCGCCCAGGTACCCCTGCCCAACATCCTTTCCCCAACGTACAGCTCCCTTGTTCAGTGTGTATAGTGTGTGTGTGGGGGTACTACTTGCCATCTGACTGCAGACTAGAAGTCCTTGTGTATTCAGGACACAGTGGGTGGTGCTACACACGATCCCTTCACTGACAATCTACCTGGGCTGTGTTTATTACAGACAGTAGAGGCCATAAGGGTCACGTGACTGGCATCACCATCCTGGGAGCTAAAGACTCTCAGAAGCACTTCCTATCTTGTTTCACTCTTTCAGTTCTAAAGAGTCCCCTCTGCCTCAACAAAGTGCTTCTCTCATGACCCCACCCTGGCCTGGGACTCCCCTGACTGAGGTCCCAGATCAGGAACCCTGTCTCTGTGTTGGTGGCACTCTCTCCCAGTCAGCATCTGTACCCTGTCCCATCTCTGTCAACACAGTACTCAGACTCAGAGATGAACTAAACAGAGCTGCCCTTGAATCCACGCAGGCACAAGGAGTGCACATTATCATCACCAGGAGGGATTGCACAACCTTGAGAATACCAGCCTTGTACTTTGTGCTTTAACGGAGGAATTTATTTGAAGGGCATTCTGGGGAGAATCCTGAGCCCTGGGTATAAGTTGTGTGTGCCCAAAGAAAGGGCGAAGGATTATTAGGGACAGCAGCAGGTGGCATTCCATGCAGAGCACGCGAGACAAAATACAGTCATTTGACTTTTGTTATTGTTATCTTTCTGCTTTGGTTTTTGTTGGGACAGGTCTAGTGTAGCCCAGACTGGCCTTGAACTTGCTGTGTAGCCAGGGGTGGACTAGAACTCCTCATCCTCCCAAGAGCTGGGATTACAGACGTGTCCTGCCAAACCTAGCAAATGCAGTCCCTTGAAGGAGCACATGGACAGGTGCTACTATAAGCTATAATCAGGAGTAACTGTGGGCCAGGCCAAGGAGACACAGGCACAGGGCCTTTGAAGTATTTGGAGGCCTGAAAAGACAAGAGACTGTTTGCTTCTCATAACTGGTCCTTAGCAAGAAACCTGGAGTAAAGAGAAGGTACAAGACACCTGCAGCCCTAGTGGCAATGTGCTGGAGCAAGCAACTTGAGGGAGAAGTCTAGCATTGGCACCAGGGCAGGCAGACAAGCAAGCATCAGCCATCACCCTGCCCATGGGAACACACAGCAAGAGTCCTGCTGCAGCTGCATGGCACAAGACCAACTCAAACTGCTTTCTACAGGCCTGTGGGTCAGACCCTAGCAGTTCCCCGAGTCTACATGACTCAGGCTAGATGGAATTTGAGTAAAACATTCCATGAAGAGACTTGTTAGAAGCCCTGGGCACTGCTTTTGTGTACAGGATATCTCCCTCTATGTGTAAAGGGTTACTTTAAAATCTTCAGTGGAACTGGGCAGTGGTGGTGCATGCCTTTAATCCTAGCCCTCAGAAGGCAGAGGCAGTCAGATTTCTGTGAGTTCAAGGACAGCCTGGTCTACAGAGCCAGTTCCAGGACTGCCGAAGCTGCAGAGAAACCCTGTTTCAAAAACAAAAAGGGAAACAAAACAAAAAGACCCCCCAAAAAACCAAAAACAAAATAAAAATCTTTAGTGGATTCCTGTAACTGCAGAAAGTCTTAAACCCTACAGATAGATAACCAGTAAACCTTCATCATTGTGTTAAAAAAAATCAAATTCAAACCACTGTGAGTCAACAACTGTCTTGTATTTTTTCTGTTCACTCAGATATATGATAGTGATTAAGCATAGTAAGGGATTTTCAACAATAATAATATATAGAAAATACAACCGTATACTCACTATAATTAAAGTTATTTAAAATTGATTGCTTTCTGGAACGTTCTATTTAGTATTTTCGAAGTGCTATTAACTGCAGGCAGCTGGAACAGCAGGAAGAAACGGTGGCCAAGGATGACCGCTTGGCTCTCCCCTCCCTTCCCTCTACCTAGTTCGGGTTCATTTTGTCTTCACTTTCTCCCCATGCCAACAGTGTCCCTCCATTCCTTCTCCTGCCTCTGAACAGGAACATTTTGGACATGGCAAGTCATCTGCTTTCCAGCTCTTTGGCTCCCCTCACGGGAAAGACCTGCTGTTCACTGATGCTGCTCATGGATTTCTAAGGGTTCCTCCAAAGATGGACATCAACCTGTACCTGGGATACGAGCATTTTTCTGGCATTAAGAAACTAAAGAGAGGTATGTCAGGTATGGAGGGGCCTGCTAAGTTTCACCACAGGGTGAGGCAGAAGTCCCGGACTAGAATTAGCTGGTGGCTGCAAATATCGCCTAACCTTATTGATCTGTAAAGCCCTCGAGAGCTACTCAATATCCTGGGCTGATGAGCAGATGTTCTGCCGAGCCAGGGAAAAGATCTAAGTTATTTAACGACAAAAATGTTATATGGTGGAAGTGGTGGTGCTGGGACTTGAACCCAGGTCTTCACAGATGTGAAGCCAGGACTCTGCTACTGAGATGTGCTTCCAGTCCCTACAAAAGGGATTTCAGGACCTTTGTATGATAGACAACTTAATGCAACAGTGGCTCTGGATTCTTGTGTTTAACTGGCTCCACTCACCCAGTGACAGACAGGTCTGTTCAATAGGGAGGACGGTCCATCCCAAGCTGACATGGGAACGTGGCCACGACCACAATCAGGAGCAGAACTAGAAAGGTTTTGAGTGCAGCTGCCACCCTCCCCTGGCTTTTCCCATCTCATTCTTTGCTTCTTCTCTGTCCCCACCCTCCTTTTAATCAAACAATAGTCCCTGAGCATCTACAGAGTGTTAGGTGGAAGCTAACACACTGGGGTGAGCATCAGCAATGAGACCATCAGAGCAGAACACATGACTTTCATGGGATACTGCCTGGATGGAAGTTCTGCAAAGGAAAGTTCCAGAAGGCCCAGCTTTGGGACGGAGAGCTGAGAAGCTTCCCTGGGGAGGTGACATCAGGAGGGAGGGAAGAGCTCCACTGTCACTATTTTTCACGAACGCTTGGATTTCTGTTTCTCCTAGATAATGACACGCAGCCGGGGAACACCCGCTCCTTGCCTTCAGTGATGCCCCATTGGGCAGCATGTCTGCAGTCATCTGGGATTTTTTTTGGGGGGGGGTCCTTGCATCATCTCTATGCATCCTAGGTTTGGAAGACTCCCGGAGGGTGCAGTGGTGTGCAGTGGGCCAACAGGAGAGGACCAAGTGCGACCACTGGAGCGCTGTGAGTGGTGGAGCGCTGGCATGTGTCACGGAGGAGACTCCTGAGGACTGCATCGCTGCCATCACGGTAGGAAGTCCCTCTTCTTCATCGGGGCCCCCGATTTTGGGTAAATCTCTCAGCACTAAGCGATGGGATTCAGATTTTGTTGGGTCTGTAGTTTCCAAAGTTTGTCAGTTGTAAAGATTACAACTTGAGTACTCTTGAATGTCGCCTGGCATAGGGTAAGCTGTTAATACGTGTTAGCTACTTTTATTATTTAAAGTCTTGGACACAGCAGGTGCACTTTCTGAGGCAATGAAACCATAAGTTAAAATATGTTTTTAACAGTTGCATATCCAAGCACGGTGGTGCACAGCTGTAATCCCAGCACTCGGAAGATGAAAGCAAGAGGATCAGTTTAAGGCTATCCTTGGCTACCTAGTAAGATTGAGGCTAGCCTGGGTTACAGGAGACTGTCTCAAACAAGCAAACAAACAAATAAAACCCCCAAAATCCTGCATGATTTCCTGCTAAATATTTCAGTGTCAATTTAGCTAGCTAATTGATAATTTTTATATTTGAGTTGTTTAATAAATTATTTGCTATTATACATATGGGATTGGAATTTTTTATCCCTGTAACTGTCAGTATTTTTGAGTTCATTGTTAATCTTAATCTATACCTAATATTTCTGCAGCTACTTTCTACACAACATGTAAACTTCCATTAACTCTCTTAAACCTCATCAAAGCCCTCAGGGTACTTTTCAGTCATTTTAGGAACATAAAATTTGCAGGACAATGGTGACACACACCTTTAATCCCAGCACTCAGAAGGCAGGCAGATCTTTGTGAGTTCGAGGTCCAGCCTGGTCTACAGATTGAGTTCCAGGACAGCCTGAGCTGTTACACAGAGAAACTCTGTCTTGAGAAAAACTATAAATATCTTACAATATTTAGGGATGTGTACTTTGAATAGCCAGGTCCTGGAGGCAATGTGGCACAGTGGTTACTGTAGGAAATAGACCATCCATCAGACAAATCATTTAACATCTTTCTACATTGGCTTGTTGGTTATCAAATGACACTCTCTGTTTTATTTGACTTTATAAGGCATAGTGAGTGATTCATTGCCCAGTGTTTAAATATGTGTGTTCACAGTGTGTCACTCGTTTAATTATTTTTTATTATTATTGTTGAGAGTTTGTTTGCCATTTTGCTGGTACTGGGCATTAAAGTTGGCCCTTGCTCTTCCTTCCCATTGATCTACAGCCCAGCCCTGCACAATGCTGGGGAAGAGCCTGGTACAGGGCACCTTTTCCATACCCTGGTTAGTTTTTAGATTTCCAGGGCTGCTGAGGAGTCAAAAGTGAAGCGCATACATGAATGTGCATTGGTGTTGCTGGTGTTTGGCACAAAGTCTCACTCTATATCCCTGGCTGGTCTGGCACTCACTATGTTGCCCAGGTTAGCCTTGAACTCGTGGCAATTCTCCTGCTTCAGCCTCACCAGTGCTAGAATTACAAGTATGAGCTACGCTCCGGTTAACTACTTTATCTCAGTGATTTTATGTAGGAATATAAGAATACATTAGTTGCTCTGTTTAGAAAAAAATGATTGAAATAGCAAGTTAATTGTGAATGAATTATTTAATGGTTATTCATCATTTTGTTAATTATTTATTAGTTGTTTGTCAGAAACATTTTTGTGCCATTGAGTGCAATGCTGATAGGATTTGGGGGACAGATTTGATTCCATTGGTTGAAAGAAAACATTTTCCATGAAGCAGGTTAAATAGAATACCTGAGCCTGGCACATGGGTTGTTGAATTAAGTGACAATGGTCATAAAGAAAGTGTGCTGTGTACATGTCCAGGGATCTCCTAGGAGGACACAGGGATATCCCAAGTCAGATCCTTGTTTCTAGCCAACAGGACAAAGACAGGTCTGGTTTTCTAATTTCCATGTTATCATGGCAGATGATTTGGGAGTACCACAGTCTGGCTAAATAAGTACACATAACAGGAACTCATGAGTCGAAGACTCTGAGGGTCGGTGGGATGGAAGACAGCCATACAGTTCATGACCAATTTCTCTTTTACCTTTAGAAAGGAGAAGCAGACGCCATGAGCTTGGATGGAGGATTTGCCTACGTCGCCGGCCACTGCGGTCTAGTTCCCGTCCTGGGCGAGAACTACAGTGAGTGGGTGGGACTCTCTGTTTCTCTCTGGGCGGGGGCACAGAAAGATGAAGAAATAGTGCCATCTTTTTTTCTGGTAAGATAATGATACTATATTTGTATTTTAGGGCGTTTGAAGTGGAATATTCTACTTCCCAACAGAGTCAGCTCAGCTATATATGTGGGTGTTAGACCTGTTTGCAAAGGTTTTAGGATCAAGGACTGGGCCCCAGCAGCCATGACAGTTCAACTACTCCCCTCAATACACCAACTTAAGAGTCACAGAATAGTGAAAAGTCAGAGAGAGAGAGAGAGAGAGAGAGAGAGAGAAAGAGAGAGAGGTGGGAGGGAAGGGGAGAGAGAGGCTGTATTCACCATAGCCACGCAAGGAAGAGGAACAATAGGAGGCATCATGACCCCAAGTCCATCTTCAGGATTCTAATATGAAGGTTCAAATTTTAATAGAAGGCAAGAGATACGCACAGATGAGCTGTCCTGGTCATGGTGTGGTCTCACCCATCACTGATACATCATATATTTTAGCTTCCCCTGCAAGGTGGTTTGACAAGTGTCAGAACTATATGAAGTCTCTCCTTGGGAGACAAATTCTTCCCCAGGCTGGCAGCAGTACTTCAGTCTTTCCCTTCCCCAGAACAATATTCTTGGAGGAATTCCAGTTCCTTGGGGACAACTGTTTCAATAGTCTGACGTCAAAGTAAGGGGGAACAAGTGTCAGTCTTTTCAGTATCTCTGCCCCTGCCAGGACAGTTACAGGCAGACAGAGTTCAAGATCATACCTCTTACTATGGCTGTAACAATACTGAGGGTGTGGAGTGGGCAGAGCTACCACAGTGCTTGCCAAATGCCCATGGGTTGAACTTGCTGTTAGCTCAGGGAAGACATCAGAACCAGACGGCTACTTCAAAAGGATCCCGGCCAATATCTGCTGTGGTCTCTCTTCTCCTCCCCTTCAAGGGGCACCTTGTTTTATTTTTGTATCTGCTTGAGTCTTGGGGAGATTCTGGGATGGAGGAGAGGGGGTTACCCTTTGCCTGTTGATAGCCAGTGATAGATCACTAAATCTACATTTCTCATTTTAGTCAATCTCGGTTGAGGTTGAGAAGTTCACAGCTTGGATAGAGTAACTTATATGAGAGTTTAACATGGACTTTCTGATGCATTTATCTAATTTTTCAATAAAAACTCGCGAGTTAGATATGGGGTAAGAACCTGAAGGGGGTAAGAGAAGGAGCAGAGAAGTGATCGCCATTCTCTTTTGTCCCTCCATTCAAAAGAGCCAAGAAGCTCTCTAAGCCCCACCCTACTACTTCCTGTCTCTCTATCTGTCTTCAATCCTCCCAGACCTCTATGGTTAATTTTTGTCTGCTAGTAGCTAGCTTGGCCCTCTGATTCAAAGAAAACTTTATTGTCAGAATGCAATCGAAACGTCGCACAACAACCTTCAGTGTTTCTGCTTTTCTTTTTAGTGTCTACACATGGTGGTGAGAGGCTGGGGTCTCAGTGTGTGAATGCACCTTTGGAAGGTGAGTGGGTCAGAAACATCGGGTTTAAAAGCAGAGCCTGATGCTTGGGAAGAGGATAACAGAAACCTTAAAAGGAAACACAATTGTGGGCTGGAGAGAGGGGTTAGCAGTGAGTGTGATGTTTGGTCTTACAGAGGACCCAAGTTTGAGGACTCAGGATTGATGCCCAGTGCTCACATCAGGTGGCTTACAAATATCTGTAATTCCAGTTCCCTCTTTGGTGCCCTCTTCTGGCCTCTGCTGGTACCTTCAGGAATCTGTACCCATAGATTCATGCAGGTACACACATATACACATAAATTTTTAAAAAAAAATTATAAATAAAACCAAACTTATTAGAGTTGAAAAAAGAAGCCCAGGTTATTGCTGATATACAAAACTGTCTCAAGGCAGTCATAATGATTGATGTCTTCAAGTATCCCACAGTTGAAAAGACTTCTGTTAGCATGGCTCCTGTTTATTTTCCTCAGCAATCTGGTAGAACGGACATTATTGCTCCGTAGGATCTAGATGAGGAGATGAAGGCCCAAGGACTGGGTGGCTTCCCAGGGGCACACAGCCAGAAGTGGCTGCAGCTGAGCTTGAGAAGTGTTGAAGTAAGTGGGACCTCCAAGTCTTCCTGACACAGCCCTGTGTTCCTTTCATATTGTGCCCATCCTTGCATGAAGGTCAGCATTGGGGCAGGAGTCATCTGGGCACTTCTAGGAACTTCCTTGCTAAGGAAGAGGAAGAAAATGGGAACTACCCTGTGGTTAGCTGGAACTTATCGATGAGGGAGTTAACCTGATCTTTAAAATGAACCAGCTTGTCTTAGAGTTTCTATTTCTGGGATGAGACACCATGACCAAACAGCAAACTGGGGAGGAAAGGGTTTATTCAGCTTATGCTTCCACATCACAGTTCATCACCAAAGGAAGTCAGGACAGACACTCAAACAAGGCAGGATCCTGGAGGCTGGAGCTGATGAAGAGACCCATGAAGGGGGTGCTGCTCACTGGCTTGCTCCCTATGGTTTGCTCAACCTATTTTCTTATAGAACCCAGGACTTCCAGCCCAGGGATGGAACTATCTACAATGGACTGGGTCCTCCCAAATTATGGTGGTTTGAAGGAAAATGATCCCCAAAGAGAGTGACACTATTGGGAGGCGTGGCTTGTTGGAGTAGGTGTGGCTTTGTTGGAGGAAGTGTGCCACTATAGAAGTGAGTTTGAGGTCTTATATATGCTCAAGCCACACCCAGTGAGACAGACCACTTCCTGTTGCCTGTGAGTCAAGATGTAAGAACTCTTAGCTCCTTCTCTAGCACCATGTCTGCCTGCATGCTGTCTTGCTTCCCGCCATGATGATAATGAACTAAACCTCCGAACTGTAAGCGAGTCACTGCAATTAAATGTTTTCTTTTATATGAATTGCAGTGTTCATGGTGTCTCCTCACAGCAATAGAAAACCTAACTAAGACACTGGTTAAGAAAATGCTTTAGAGTCGAATCTCATGAAGTTATTTTCTCAATTGAGGTTTCCTCTTTTCAGATGACTCTAGTTTGTATATCAAGTTGACATAAGGCTAACCAGGACACACACCCAGGAGATAAGTTCTCCTGCCTGGCCTCTCTACATAGGCTGAAGGAGCTTATATCTCCCCTGAAGAGTCCAGTCTTGAAAGTTGCAGGTGGAGCATGGTGGTCCTTGGGTGTGTTTTCTGGACCAGCATCATCAGCATCACCTGGGAATCTGTTGAAAATGAAACTTATTGGGTTCTTTCTACTGAGCCAAATGGTCCCTGGCTAGGGCTAGAAGTTTGTTTTGTTAGATCTAATGATAACGTTGGATTTAATGATAAGGTTTAAAAGTTCACTGGACACAGAGTCCCAGGGTGAACACCGGATTCTTACTTAGGCTCAGCAGAGATCTGGGGAGCTGAGGGCTTGGCCCAGCACAGCACATTCAGCCTCAGGAGGGCTTTGTCCCTGTTGAGCACCAGGTCACAGAAGCCCCTCGGCCATGCTTCACAAAGGTCACCAGAGTGCAAAGTTGAAGTGTCATGTCCCTGCTCAGCTACAGCAGCCCACCCTAATCTCCCTGTAAGACCGGACCCCAAAGCTCTCCCCTTTCTAGACTCATGGCTAAGAAGTCTTCTCTGCACTGTTTGTTTCCTCATCCCCAAAGCCAAGGTCTGGCCACTCATCAGCCGAGTATGCTAGTCTGATCATTTATGGTTAGAAACAACACACCTGTTTCAAGAGCAGTTGGGATTCCCAGGAGCTGCAGTCATATGCAAATGTAGGTCACCAAGGATGTTTAGAAGACGGTTCAGACAAATGTTGGCTATGGTAGAAAAAGTTCGATCAGAGCATGCCTGGAGAAGGCTTTGTATTGAACCAAATACATCAGTTATTTTCCTTGTTGCCATGGCAAAAGCATCCAACAGGAAGAAGGGTTTATTTTAGCTTACAGTGCTAGGGGATACAATGCATCATAGTGCTGAAAGCAAGGTGATGGGAGTGAGAGGCTGCCTGGTCATATTGTATCAGTAGTCGGAAAGCAGAGAGACATGAATGTCAGGGCTTGGCAACGTTTCCCTTTTTATGGAGGCCAGGGATTGGTACCTGCTTCCCAACCTCAATTAACCCAGTCATCCCTCACTACATACCCAGAGCTTTATCTCTCAAGGTGGTTCTAGTTCCTGTCAAGTCAACCATCAAATGATCACACCAACTCTCTGTGTTTTTCTCTTATCTTTCTGTATCTACATCTCTCTTGTCTTTTTCCCTTACTGTCTCATTTGTCTCTCCGCTTCTGTCTCTCCTGTCTCTCTGTCTCCCTTTCTTGTCATTCTCTGTCTTTCCTATCTCTTTCTGTCTGTTTCTTTGTGTGTCTGTCTCTCTCTCTCTCTCTCTCTCTCTCTCACACACACACACACACACACACACACACACACACACAGAGAGAGAGAGAGAGAGAGAGAGAGAGAATCAAAGATAGACGATAGTATTTAATGTTGTAAATATAAAAACCTTAGACTCAAAGACAGTATTAGTGTTTTGGTAATAGTAGATAGTATTTAGCTGCTTATGTAACAGCCCAGTCAGAGGTTAGCTGCCCACTCGGTAGAATCTGCTTTACCTTGAGAGTCTAGCACTGCCTCTACCACCAGCACCACTGCTGGGAACCTACAGATTCACCCATTCTCCCCTCACAACAAGAGGCTCAGTACACAGGATGAGTTTCGGCTGTCATGTCACTAAGCAGAAATGTAGGCACCGACATAGGCACCGAGGTCACTTAAGAAATAGCCCTGAGACAAGTCTTCCATTTGCCGTGTTGAGCCCCAGCTTCCCACATTTGAACGCATACAGGTAGGGCAGGGTGTGTGTGTAACAGAGGTGGTGGTGATCACATTGCTTTCTAATTCTAAAGATTATAATTCTATCTAATCTTACCAATTCCTTCTTCAGATCAGACTCACAAATGAACACGATTCGGTGGTATATTCTTTGGGTAGGAATAACTGGTGCATTAATGATAGTCCCATGGATCGGGAAGGAGGCAAGAATGCTAACTCCCACTAGGGAGCTGCAGCATTATCTTTTACGTGAAGGCAGGACAATAAGAAGAGGGGTGCTGAAGGAGAAGCAGAGCCCCCCTCTGGCCACTTCCACCCTTCCATTCTCACACATCCTAAGGTCACACTTGTAGGCAAAGGCTGGCTATGCACTTTCCACACACCATCCGAGGGATGGAACAGAACAAAAAATGGAGAAACCAAGTTCGTATTCTCCATCACACAGAGAAGCCATTCAGTGTTGTGGGGAAGGGGGCGTGTCAGATCCTGCTTTTGTCTGTTCTCCTCCAAACAGTAAGAGCTTGTCTCTTGGTGTCTCCACCGCAAGGTTACTATGTTGTGGCCGTGGTTAAGAAATCAGACGTTGGCATCACCTGGAACTCTCTTCGAGGCAAGAAGTCCTGCCACACAGCAGTTGGCACTTCTGCTGGCTGGACCGTCCCCTGGGGTTTAATATACAACCAAACGGGGTCCTGCAAATTTGGTAAGTGTGTTCTCCAGGTGAAGTGGTGCCTTCCTTGATCTTGTACCTGAGTTGGAGGGAATTCAGTTCAGTGGAAGGCAACGAATGTCCTAGGTAGGTATTTGGGCCAAGGGCCTGACAGACAGACAGTGAGCCCTACCTTTCCCTTCTTTACAGCCACCTGCCCTCAGGGCTATGCACTCACATCAAAACAAATGGGTGTGGAGAAAGGGGAGGAGTGAAAACGCCCCAGCGCCCCAGCTTGGTTTTTCTCTGGCTCCTGCAAGAGCCCATCCTTTCTAATCTGGTTAAGAAAGAGTTGGGTTGCAAAAGGCAGTTCTTTCCCTGGTCTAAGCCCAATCTCTAAGCATTCACATCCAAGTGGGGCTCAATTGTCATGAGATGAATTACTGGGTTCTTGATATGCATTGGATAAAATGATGGATGCTACTGCAATAGGGTCTAAAGGGTGATAACTCCTAAACACAGATTTCCCCTTGACCTATACACACACACACACACACACACACACACACACACACACACTCACACACGCACACACGCACACACGGACGCACGGTTTCATGAAGTTCTGCTTGGCCTCAAACTCATCACATAGCTGAGGCTGACCTTGAACTCCCCATCCTCCTGCCTCCCAACAGCTGGGATTATAGGCATGTACCACCACATCCAGCTCAAACATTTGTCTAGTGGACTGTCTATTGCCATATCTCTTTAGGAACTCAAAGGCACATTAAACTCACCCTGTCCAAAACTGAGTTCTCTCGTCCTACTCTGGTAATGTCCCAGAACTGCCTAACATAGTGGAGGACTCTGGAGTCCTCCTTGCCCAGCAATGTCAGTTTCTCCTCCTCCCACCTGTCTCTTGTTACTTTACCCTCATCTCTCCTGGCCCACTTCAGCAGTCTGCCACCTGAGCTGCGCATCAGCTCTTGATCCCATCCTCCTCCCGGTCAGATAGACTTCTGCAGAGTGTGGATTAGACTGTGTGCCAATGCACTGAGCCCAGCATTGTGCACATCACTTCAGAGCCTCCTCATTTCTCTAGGGAGAAAGAACAGTAGCCACACAGTAAGATCCCCTGGGGTCTTGGCCAAAGCAAGCCGCTACCCCACTCCCCTCTCTTGATGGTCTACTTGAATGGCCTCCATTAAGATTTTCGTGCTATGACTGGACTCAGCTTCTCCACAGCCTTTTCAGGGGCCACTCCCTTGTCTGTAGGCTTCTACTCTCTCCCCCTCTCTTGGGGACAACCTACTCACCCCTCATCTCTTGTCTTGACTCCCAGGTCTATTGAGGGTCCCTCTGTCTCCAGTTTCATGGAGTCATAATCCTTCTTCCTAGAGCAAGAGGGGATATGCAGATCCATGGGTGCGGTTGCTTGAGTCCTGACAGGTACCCGTAGGTATTAGGGTGTAAGAAGGAGGGGCCCATGCTCAGTGTCCTCAGTGTAGTTCCCTGGAATCCAGTGCTAGGCCTGGAAGCCATGATTTTCTATTCCTTTCCTGACTTGAAGTCACAATGACAAACTTTGTAAGGGAAGACCAAGACAGCAGAGATCAGAAAACACGGTGTAAGTTAAACAACCCCCCCATTTCCACTCTGTTAGGTCTAAATTATCTATCCGTCCCTCATCACCCCTGCCCTGTGTGGGGACAGGGGTGGACTTCTGTGAGCTCACAGTCTGGTCCATCTCCAGCCAGTCCCTTTATGTTGTCTGTCTGCAATCTTTTCTTTTATTCTATAATGTTCTTGTTCCTTTTTAAAAAATTAGTTTTGCATGTATGATGAATGCATGTATTCATGTAGGTGTGGATATGTACATGTGCAGGCACACATGTGTGCATATGTGCATGGATATTTTGCATGTATGGTGTATGTATGTGTTCATGTGGGTGTGGATGTGTGCACATATGTATGGCTGTTTTGCATGTATGATATATGTCTGTTCACCAGGGTGTGCATATGTGTGCACATGTGTATGGATGCTAGCTAGAGGAGGATGTTGGATATCTTCTTCCATTGATCTCAATACCACCATTTTTTGTTTGAGTTCCTCTGTGTAGCCCTGGTAGTCCTGGAACTTGCTATGTTGACTATGTAGACAAAGTCAGAGATCCAACTGTCTCTGCCTCTTAAGTGCTGGCATTAATGGCCTATTGTTGTCAGAGGCTGCTTGTTCATTCCTGGCCACCCAAGCCCGAAATAACCGCACAGAAATTGTATTAATTAAAACACTGCTTGGCCAGTTAGCTTAAGCATATTGCTAGCTAGCTCTTACATTTTAAATTAACCAATTTCTATTATTTTATATTTTACCTTGAGGCTTGTGGTTTACTGGTACCAGCGTGCAGGCATCTTTCTTCTCTGGTGGTTACTTGATTTCTCCCTGACTCTGTCCACTCTCTTTATATATCTTTTTCAGCCTGGCTATATTCTGTTAAGCCCTTGGCCAAAAGCAGCTTCTTTATTAACATATGGCAATAAAATATATCTATAGCACACTGAATTTCACATCACCTCCCCTTTTCTGTCTAAATAAAAAGGAAGTTTTTAACTTTAACATAGCAAGATTACATACAACAAAAGTTATCAAACAATAATTATGGTTACAATATTTATATCTACTCTATCTTTTATCATAACTAGGGAAAACTATAATTATAACTATCTATTCTTCAATTCTATCAAAGACTCCAGAAGGATATAATTTTACGTAAGTAAACAGGAAGTCCATTGTAGGCAACTTCCAAAACTCTAGAATTGACAGAGACATCTTGCTGCCTGGAAAGTCACCCAAAGTTCTTATGTAACACTGGGGCACCCATCTTCAGCCTACAGGCCCATAGTATCTGGCAGACTTTTCCAGCTTGTGTTACGGGCAGTGTTGGGGACAAGCCCTGGGGCTTTTCCGCGATCACTGAAGAGCTGTTCTGGTTGTCCTTCTTCACAGATGAGTTCTTCAGTAGCAGCTGTGCCCCAGGGTCTAAGCCAGGCTCCAGTCTCTGTGCTCTGTGTGTTGGTGGTGACAACCCAGCCCACATGTGTGCTGCCAACAGCCGTGAGGGATACCATGGCTCCAGCGGAGCTCTCAGGTTGGTATCTGTGCTCTTTTTTCTCTTGGCCTCGCCCCATCGACCCCCTCATCCCCTTATCCTTTTCATCATTCCAGTCCCTGGGTGTCAGTTTAAAAGGAGCTGGATCTGGAGAACAGAGTTACTGCAATTCCAGTTGTTTTATGGTCTGATATTCAGCCAGGTTCTGTTGTAGGAGGCTGCTTGTTTGTTCCCCGACTGCCCAGCAGCTTAGCTCCAAAATAACAACTTCAAAAATTGTATTAATTAAATAACTGTTTGGCCCATTAGCTCTAACTTCTTATTGGCTAACTCTTACATCTTAATTTAACCCATTTCTAGCAATCTGTGTATCACCCTGAGGTTGTGATTTACCTGGTAAAGTTCTGACATCTGTCTCTGGTGGGGCTACATGACTTCTCCCTGACTCCGCCTCCTTTCTCCCAGCATTCAGTTTAGATTGCCCCTCCCCACCTAGCTCTATCCTGCCCTATCAACAGGTCAAGGCAGTTTCTTTATTCACCAATGGTATTCTCAGCATACAGAGGGGAATCCCACATCAAGGTTCTAGAGAGAGTAATCCCTTGGCCCAGCAGCCTGAGGGCACTTCAGGGACCTGGGCAGGGCAGGATTGGGGGTGCAGAATATACTTCCCCTCCTTTCTTCTGTGTGACTGTAGATGAGCCATGGGCTCTATTAGAGTTCAGCTGTCAATCACAGGAGAGACCCAGACACCTGCTTCCTACATTCAGTTGCTTGAATATCTTTAATAATAGATCTGTCTAGGCTCCTCCAACCATTTAAGAAAACGGAGACATACCAGGTGCTGTTTTAGGTAGAGGCATCTTGTCTACCCCATTCCCCAGTGGAGGAGCAGGACAGTAAGCACACAAGCAAGCAGGATTCTTCTCAACGGCACATGCAGTAGAGGGACCAGGGGAGACAATGTTAGGGAGCTTTCCATCCTTGTAACAAAATGCCTGAGACTCTCAGCTTGTAAGGAGAAAAAGTTCATTTTGTCTCATGGTCTTAGAGCTTCTAGTCCGTGACCGAGTAGAATCAGCATGGTCCAACCATTCCTTTCAAAGGCATGCCCCAGTGACCTCAGGATTTCTCACAAGGCCCCAGCTCCTCTTGGTTTCACCTCTAAAACCATCTCCTCAGAACCATGCTATTTTTAAAATTTGAGTTTAAACTTTATTTTAATTTTGATATGTGTATGCGTGTCCATATCTGTGCGTGTGTCTGTGTCTATTTCTGTGTGACTGTGTCTATGTGTCTGTGTGAATATGATCATGTATATACAGATGCCTAAAGATGCCAGCAGAGGGCATCAGAGACCCTGGAGTTGGAGCTATGGGCGATTGCCAGCTGCCCCACATGCGTGTTGGGAATTGAACTCTGGTTCTCTGGAAGAGCAGTAAGTGCTCTTAACCACTGAACCTTCTCCCCAGCTTCTGGATCCAAGCCTTGTCATGTACTTTGGAAGATGGTCAAGATCCTCACACAGTAGGGATTGATGTGGCAGTGACCAGGACCGGGGACAGCTTTAGAAAAGTACATGGAGAAGGCGTTTGAGAGCAGAGGAATTCAGCCTGAGAGAATCTGTAGCAAGAGTCATCCAGAAGTAAGCCAACAAGACTTACGAGGGCATGGGTGGCACTAACCACACCACAGTGAGGACAGCAATAGAGGTTTGCAGACTGGAGTGTGGAGAAGGAGGGCTCTGGGTTGTGACCTGCTGGGTCAGCGTCTAGTGGCCATGTCTGTTGAACCCGGTAAACCTGGCTGAGCAGGCAGACTGAGTTCTAAGCATGATGAGCCAAGCTAGATGTGTTCTGATGGCGGGGCGGGGGTGCTGGTCGAGTAAGAGCTGTGTAGGTGGCGTGTGGTGGACTAGAAAATGCTCCCGTCCCCATATATGCCAGGAGAGTACCTTGCCCTCCAAACTGTTCCCTCTCTTATCAGTCATGCACTAGTGACAACAATATCTGCTGAATGTTAAATCCAGGCCAAACTAGCTTGAAACTTTTTATATCGTAAGGTATATTGTTCTAGGTTTGACCCAACATCAATACTTTTTCAAAGAAAAATTTGATTATCTATCTGTGTGTGTGTGTGTGTGTGTGTGTGAGAGAGAGAGAGAGAGAGAGAGAGAGAGAGACAGAGACAGAGACAGAGAGAGAGACACAGAGAGAGTGACAGAGAGAGAGAGAGACAGAGAGACAGAGAGAGAGAGAGAGAGAGACTTGTGCACGATAGTGTACATGTGAAGATGAAGACAACTTGAGGTAGTTGGCTCTCTCTTTCTACTATGTGGGCTCCAGAGATCAAACTCAGATTGCCAAGTTTGGTGGCATGAGTCTTTTTTTTCCAAAATGAGACAGAACCTTACTATGCAGCTCAGACTGGCCTGAAAATTATCAGGAGCACACAGAGAACCATCTTAGCTCCAAATATCTCATTCACTATTGCCATCTCACTCCCCTAGCCTCATTCATCCTGGTACACTCCAATTCTGGGAGTACTTCCTGTTCTCACGCCCGCAGCCACATCCTGTTTTCCTATAGTCCACTCACACACATTTAATGACCAGTCATGGTCATTGTCCTTCTGCCCTCAGTGCCTGTCCCTCCTTCTGGCTAAACTATGAGATTGGTGGACTGAGGCCTCCAGCTGTCTGGCTTCCTTTACAAGCTATGAGGACCAAATTCAAAAGATGCATGCTTCTGGGTTCCTACTGCTTCCTAGGAGACAAAGCAATTAGAAGAGGAAGCCCACAAAGCCTCAGTACTGGATCAGCTTCAGGGCAGCATCTGCCAGCACCGGTACCCTCGGATGCTGTCTCCCAGTCTTCATTCCGGACACTTGTCCTCTCTTGGCAGAGACCAGTCCTGCACCCGTAGAGGCAGCCTCTCCTGCCCATCCTAAGGGCATCACCCCATCAATTCTGTTTCTCCTGCATCAGCACATTCTCTCTTCCTACGTACTGTGCCATAACCAATGAACCATCAGGGTCCCACACTTTCTTGTTTACTAGGTCATTCCCAGCAGCTTGTAAACATGCTGTTACTTTTTCCATCAAACAAAAGATGAATTCAAGCAACCATGTATTCTTCACTCTTTGCAACAACAACAACAAAAATACTTGAAGTTAAATATCCTTGCTCACTCTGTTTTCTCTCCTTTCAGTTTCTTCAGAACCCAGTTTAAGAATCTGTTCAGGGAGTGGGGAAGATGGTTCAGCTGGCAAACCACTTACCTTGGGTTTGATTCCCAGCACCCGTATGGCAGCTCACAAACTTGCATAATGCCAGTTCCTGGAGGATCTGACGCCCTCTTCTGGTCTCCATGGGCACTGCATGCATGCTGTGTACAGCGTTTTATGCAGGCAAAACACTCATACAAATAAAATAACAAAAACCAGAGAAGGCATTTAAATGGTAATGAAACAGTTCTGAATCAAAGAAAGATTAAAATTTTATGAGAACAAGTATAACTGGCAGATGCTTGTTGAGGTCACAGGTGGGGCTGGAATCAGAGTACCTGGTGAGGACCTGTGCCCCTGGGAGACCCAGCTTCCTCCAGCTAGACAGTAGAAGAGGAAACAGTTGGCAGGTCTTGCAGAGGACCACATGGAATAAGCCACCACATGATTCCTGTGTTTTCTCTGGGTAGTAGGAGGCACAGTGTATACACTCTGGGAGGAATTGGAAAGGCATAAATTAGTGGGAGGTGAGAAAAATCACAAAGTGAGTGAGTGGCGGTCTGACGATGGATGTGGTTCTCAGAGTGACCATGACTCAGACCTGGGGGTGGGGGGGGCTTGGGAAAGCAGATTTCATGTCACAATGTCCACACTCTCCCATTCACCCGTCAGGCTAGTAGGGCTCAAGTACCTGCACCAAGTTTTCAAGATGCTGATGCTCAGGTACTTGCACTGAGTTTTCAGGATGCTGATGCTCAGGTACTTGCACTGAGTTTTCAGGATGCTGATGCTCAGGTACCTGCACTGGTTTCCAGGATCTGATACTCAGGTACCTGAACTGGTTTCCAGGATCTGATGCTCAGGTACCTGAACTGGTTTCCAGGATGCTGATGCTCAGGTACCTGCACTGGGTTTCCAGGATCTGATGCTCAGGTACTTGCACTGAGTTTTCAGGATGCTGATGCTCAGGTACCTGCACTGGGTTTCCAGGATGCTGGTGCTCAGGTACCTGCATTAGGTTTCCAGGATCTGATGCTCAGGAACCTGTGCTGGGTTTCCAAGATGCTGATGCGCAGGTACCTGCACTGGTTTCCAGGATGCTGATGCTCAGGTACTTGCACTAGGTTTCCAACATGCTGGTGTGATGCTGATGAGCCTTAGCCTCTGGCTCTGAGGACCACTGATCTGGAGTAGAGATTAGAGACCAGGAGTGTACCTTTGAGATTAAAGAGCAGGCGGTCTTGCTCGGTCTGTCTTACCCTGAGGTGCCTACTGATCTAAGTCAGGTGACCATGCCCATTCAGGAATGGAATTCTGAAGGAAGACTCACGAAGAAAAGAAGTAAGGTGGGGGTTCCCATGAGTCTGAATGGCCACAACTGACCCCAGTTATAGATAGAGTCACCTGAATTCAAGAGAGAAAGAAGCCTGGGGAGGAACTGGTGATAGTGTCTCACAGTGCTGACAAATTCCTAAGAGAACATCTTCAAGGAGTTTTGGCCCATGGTTTCCATCCATGGTCACCTTCTTCCACTGAACAGGCCTGAAGTGACACAGAGCATCATGATGGAAGAGTGGAGGGAACAAATGGCTCCCTCAGAATGGCCAGGAGGAAGCTAGTGTGGGATAAGATGGGAGAGACAAGATACGCCCTTCAAAGGCGTGACCCCCAACCTCCTAAAGTTCCTACCAACTGACACCAATTAAGGACTCAGCCTTCACCACACAAGCCTGGGGGTAACATTTCATATTCAAACCCTAACAGTGTCCCTGATAATCACTAGACATTTCCATCAAGCTGATACCACAGAATTCATTTCCTGACATTTTTTTGTACATGGGTGCACATTTCCCCGTGGGATTAAGGATCAGTCCTGTCTGGAGATGAATGTCACTGTTATCAGTTGAGTGGCACATGAGTGCAATATGACTCCTCCGCAGCTACGGTTCCACACTGATTGTAGCTTCTTGTGGTGCTGTATCTCCCTACATGTCTCTGTTAATGGGAGAACACAGTGGTGAGAATTTAAACCAAGGACCTGAATGGTGGTTTTTACAAATGCAAGTCGTTGAGCAGTTCTATCTTCCCATTGCTTTTGTCATCTGCCACCCAAGGGCCCTGCAGTGGCTAGAGTTGCTTGTGTGGGAGTTGGGGAACGTGGGGAAGGAGTGTGACCCCCCCTTGGCAGCTCCCTTTCATTTCTGTTGATCCTCTTTGCTGACCTGGCCCTTGTTGTGCAGGTGTCTGGTTGAGAAGGGGGACGTGGCCTTCATGAAGCACCCCACAGTTCTACAGAACACTGATGGTAGGTGCCCGCACTGGGCTTTCCTTCTGTGGAGTCTTCCTGGTAGGGTGGCTCCCCAAGACACAACTGGGGAAGTTTAATAGCTAAACCTAGCAGGCCCCAGTGAATGGGTCCTAGCATTTTAAATTAATCTCGCGTTTTAACTTTCTTCCAATCTGTTCAGGCTTGGTGAGGCTAATTATCACCCTGGCCTTGACCACAGATGAAAACACACACAAAGCCATGGGCTGTGTGAGCATATCTGACTCGCTGATGGACAGACATTCTTTTGATCTTCCAGATCAAAGTTCTGGACCAAAGCTGTAAGCTGTGACTGACCCATCTTTTTCTCCCTAGGGAAGAACCCTGAGTCTTGGCCTAAGGGCCTGAAACAGGAAGACTTTGAGCTGCTGTGTCTTGATGGCACCAGGAAGCCTGTGACCGAGGCTCAGAGCTGCCACCTAGCCATAGTGCCAAACCATGCTGTGTTCTCCAGGAAAGATAAGGTCGACTTTGCTCGCAGAATACTCTTCAACCAACAGGTATGGGCACCGGTGCCTACTTCCTATGACTCAGTGCTAGGTCCCAGAGCTGTGCTGACACCATGCACCCATACCCAGCCCAACTCACACTCTTTCTCCATGAGGAGAGAGCCCTGGGCCTCCTCGTCCTGCCTCTGGTTGTATCCGATGCTCACTTATTCTCTAGCTCTCTAAGGAGCTAAGAGAGCAGCCTGGGATTCATTGCCCTTAGTAAACACGCAGAATCTCATAGTCCCCTTCAATTTTCCATGAGATTCAATCCCTTCTCTCTTCGGGTGTAATAAGGGAGCCATTGGCTCACTGACTGAGTTAAGCATAGGTAGAGCAAAGCAGTGGCTTCTCTAGCTAACTTGTGGGTCAATCTGAATTTGTCTCCATAACCGGGATAAGCTGGGCATCGTCTGAAGTTAAAGAGCCAAACATCTAGACACTTTCTGACCTTACTGGGAGCTGACAGGATCTGATCTTTTGGAGTAGGAGATACCTAACCTAAGCAGTCTAAAGAAAAACCTATAGTTTCCTCTGCCTGTTGAGGAGATACTACATTCTTGGAGGTTCCCCAAAGGAGAAATCCACGTTTTATCACATATCCCCCCTTCATATCCTTGTTAAAGGATAGTGGCCCGGTACCCCAGTTTGCTTCTCTTTGCTGGGCTAAGACCACACTAAAAGCAACTTTGGCACAGAAAGGGTTTATTTGGCTTACGGGTTATAGTCCATCACTGAGGAAGCCATGTAGGAGCTGGAGGCAAGAACTGAAGTGGAGACCATGGAGGAACACTACTTACTATCTTGTTTCAGGCTCACATTCAGCTAGCTTTCCTGTATTGTCCAAACCTACCTGCTGAGAAATGGTACCACTTGCAGTTAACTGGGCCTTCCTATATCAACTATCAAAAGAAAAAAAAAAGCCCCATCGATGTGCCTATGGTCAATCTGACAGAGGCTTTGGTTAACTGAGAAACCTTCTGCCTAGCCGTGTCAGATTGATAACCAAAATTAACCCTCACACCCAGGAAAAACACTAAGGTAAGTATCTTGACTGTGGAATCTGCAGGGGAAAGTCTCCCAGAAGACAAGCTGCCATGTTAGCTACAAGGAAGGTAAACTAAGGCAGGCAGGTAGGATGGAAATATGGAACTGGCTGAACTCCAGAGAACAGAAGGGGCAAAGCGGCAAGAGTCCATCTCAGGCAGTGGATGGACCTGGGAGGGCGATCCAGACATCTGGGGGAGCACCTGGCACAGACTAGCTAAGTAGTGATGTATGGCCAGCTTTCTAATTACATGCCTTTACATACATCATTGCACAGGTGATATTTCTGTCTCCATTCACAAATGAGCAGACTGAGGTTGACTCAGCTTAGCGAAGAATTCCCCTAAGTTCGCATAGCAAGGCAGAGATGAGGCCAGGATGCCAACCCACAGACCATGCTTTCTGTTAACTACAGTATTTCTTAAACTGTTGTTGTGTCCTGGGGTTCTCCAAGGGCGGGAGCTGAACAGTGCCAAAGCCTTTGGTCTACTAGACAGAGTTGACACCTCTCTGTTTTCTGGCACCCTCGGTCACTGTCTGTCTGTCTCAATTCAGGAGCTCTTTGGAAGAAATGGATTTGAAAAAATGATGTTCCAGATGTTTGACTCCTCAGCTAAGGACCTGCTGTTCAGTGATGACACGGAATGCTTATCTAACCTTCAGAACAAGACAACGTACGAAACATACCTAGGACCACAGTACCTTACCCTGATGGACAACTTTAGACAGTGCCTGTCCTCTGGTAAGTAGAATGGACCACCAAGCAGAAATAACACAAGAATCAAAGTCAGTATGTTTATATCAAGAACTCAGATGTGTCAAGTTCTCAGCTGGCACGAACAAGGGCGTGGAGAAGTAGAAACTTTCTCCTGGCCTTGCAGAAGGATTCCATTACCATTGTGTCAATTCAGCTAGACAAGAGTGAAAGGCACAGTCTATGAAATGCTAAATTGTCTGAAGGAGGCGAGAAGTGTTCCAGAACTTGAGAGCATTTGGTAACGAAGGTCTTCTCATGTGTGTTTGCACTATTGCTGTCAACTGGGGGCTTGGGAAAAGACACAAACTGTATATACCACGGGACTGACGGAAGGACTGATGATAGACTGATTTCTGAATGTTTTATATTAAATGCACAAAATTAATAAAAACAAATACAGCATGGTTAGCACTAAAGGAGTCTTGGTATACATATTTTAGATGGAATAGCTGTCTAAAAAGAAAGAAACTGGGAAAATAAAATTAAAACTGAGAGAATAGAATTATTGGGCATAAGCCTGAATTTTTGTATCATTATATTGTGTGCTAGAGATACTGAAAGTGGGAAGAAAGAGCAGTACAGAGAGTGTCTGTGAGGATCTTAAATCATCTCAGTTAACCATGACTTACTTTTATGTAAGTGGGACAGAAGAGTTCCCGACATGTTTTCAAGAACTTTGCTCTTAAGAACACAGGACACTGGAGCAGAGAGGAGTGTGGGAATGATGGGGAATGATGGGGAATGATGCTCTTTTCTCTTCTGTTTCACTTCACAGAACTGCTCGATGCCTGCACGTTCCACAGACATTAACCCCATTCAGCTGGGGTCTCACCGGATCAGGGGTCCTGATGGTTTTTCTCCATGTGGATGCGTGCTGACATCTTTATAACTCGATATCATAATTGGAGCGAAAGGAATTCAAACGAATAAAAATATCTTCCCAGAAAACTTCATTGAATGTTCTTAGATTTGGGACAAATAAGACTTTTTAGATTAAATTTGAGCCTCTAAGTTTAGTAGCTACTAAAATTTCTATCTTACAAGCTAGTGAGATGGCTCAGGGGGCAAAGGCAGCGACCTGAGTTTGAGCTCTGGGACCTGCACAGTGGAAGGAAATAGTAGACTCCAACAAGTTGTCCTCTGACCTCCACACGGACATAATGGCACGAGTGTGCCACCGTGCACCAACACACACAAATAAAGGAGTGTTAAAAATACACCTTTGGGGCGATGACCAGTGGGTTCGCGTTTACTTTGGAAACACGAGAACTTGAGTTTGGATCCCCAACATCCACGTGAAAGCTGATTGTGGCTTCGTGTGTCTGTAATCTTGACACTGCAAAGAGATAGGTGGAACCCAGGGCTTGTGGTCACCTGGTCTAGCTGAAACAGTGACATTCAGGTTCCTCAAGAGATCCTGTCTCAAAAAATTAAAGGGAAGAGTGACAGAAAAAGACACCTGGTGTCAAACTATAACCTCCGCATGTTCATACATGGGACTGTGCTTACGTATAACATGCACGCACATGCACACACACACACACAGGGGGGAATTTTAAAAATAATATACTTTTAAAAGAGCTCAACCTAACTAATTTGACTTATCTCCTCATACTCTGATTCTTTTACACAAGAGACAAATCATTCAGTTATAATTTGAACAACAAATCTGTCTGAATACCATCCAATCAGTGACGATAAGATCACACACACACACACACACACACACACACACACACACACAAAACCATATCAGTGTGTTCAGCAGAGACAGCTTACATAATAACAAGAAAGGACAAGGAATGATCTTGTGTATTTTTAAAATGCGGTTTGGGGCTTTGGGAGAACCTCAGCTTGGATCCCCAGCACTCATGTAAAGGGCTAGGTAGAGTGTCTGGGAAAACAAAAACAGGATCATCCCCGGGGTTCCCTGGGTGACCAGGCTAGCTGAATGGGTGAGCTTCAGGTTCAGTGAGAGACCCTGTCTCAAAAAGTAAAGCAGAGAGCAATAGAAGCCAACACTAGACTTTGACCTCCGGTCTCCACACGCATGTGTATATAAGGCACATGCACCCCCGTATTCATACATAAAATATTATCTTTTGACATTTTAAATTAATGCCAAAGGCGATCAAAATCTTAGTTACTGTTTCCTGAAAAATATTAAAATTATGGCAAACATTGTACCTGACTGCTTGTTCATTCAACTTTCTAAAAAGTGTGATGCACCAGACACTTGCTTCTTTTCAGTTCTTATCAGAAATGTCACCATCTCTAGTTATTTCTACAACGCCAGCTTGTGACAGCCTCTTAGCAAGTGTGGAATTGGAGCTAAGATTATATGTCACTAAAAGTCAGATTTCTACAAGTGAGTGAAGGAGTGGTCGGAGCAGGAAGCACCCGCTTCACAAACTACTGAAGAGCAGGAAAAGAATGCATGAAACAGCTCTTTGTGGTTGAACAATAACAGCAGGGAATTTGGAACCATGGAGGAAGGGAAACAAGAGCTGGGATGATGATGACCCGGCCTTCTGCCAGTCTGAAGTTTCCAGAAACAGAGATAGAAATCTGAGTCAATGTGATTGGCATCAAGTGCCAAACAGGATGGAACTTTGCAGGGGAACTGTTCGTGGCCCACACTACAGTGTCCTTGATGAACCTGCACCAGTATAGACTGAAATTAAAACCCAACACAGTACAGGGGACTCACAACACATGTCACTGTAGCCCTGGGCAATCCAGCCTCTCTTCCAGCCTCGGTAGGCATCTGCACATACATGTGCTCACATACTTCACACACACACACACACACACACACACACAAATACATACACATACAGCAACATAAACACACACACAGACATACATTCACACAAGACTAAAGGCAAAAGTCTACTGATAACAACTGTTTTGTTCAAAGACAGATTATTATTATTATCATTATTATTTCAGATAAGTTGATAAAGTTCATCAAACTGTTCTGTTATGTTCCTAGTGTTTGTAGACTGTGTAGTGATGCCCTGGCTTCCATTCTTGACACGAGGGATGTATTTCTCTCTTTGATCACTCTAGCTAAAGCTGTGTGGATTTTACTCTGCATTGCCAGGAACAGACATTTGGTTTTATTAATTGTCACAATTCTTTCTCTATGTTCTATCTGATTTTTCATTGTGGCCCTTATGTTTTGCTTTCTGTGTACTTTTCATTTAATCTTCATTTTTGATTCTTTAAATTTATGATTTGTGCATATTAGTTATATGGAATAGAAGTTTTATGGTAATATTTTCACACATATATAATAAACTTGGGTTTTATCTATCCGCCTGCCACCCTCATTTACCTTTCTCCTCTTCTTCTCCATCCTTCCGTTTCTCTGATAAGTCCCTTCTGATTTTGTATTATTTTATTTTTGATAGATTCTACACTTGAGAGAAAACATGCAGTATTTATCATTCTGGGCCTTGTTTATCACATTTTGCATCATGCTTTGCAGTTCCTCCAACTTTCCCACAAGTATTATGTATTATGATTTCCTTTTTCTATGAAAACTCACTTTGTGTGTGAGAATGCATGTGCCCACATGTGCAGTGTGTGTGTTTATGTTTGCATGTCCATCCTTTATTTTCCTTATTCATCTGTTTTCTGGACATCTAGGCTAGCCCTTGACTTGGTCATTGTGGATCGTGCATAGATAACCAGATGTACAAGTGTCTCTGTGCACTAACTTAGATTCCCTTGGGTATATAAACAGGAGTGGTATAGCTGAAGCATATGGTACTTCTGATCTTAGTTTTGCATAATGGCTGGAACAAATGACTCCCCTGTCAATGATGTATAAAGAATTCTACCCACTCCCAACTCAGCTCTCTTCCCCTATCTTAAACTATCTTTTCCCCTGTCATAGTCTCTTTTCTTGTTTTATAACCTACATAGCTCCCATGAGTAAATAAATGCACACACACATGTTCAAATACAGACAGTAGCTTTAAGAAATGTGTTGCTGGTGGGAATGCAAACTTGTGCAACCACTCTGGAAAGCAGTGTTTCGGTTTCTCAGGAAATTCGGGATCAACCTACCCCTGGATCCAGCAATACCACTCTTGGGACTATACCCAAGAGAGGCCCTATCATACAACAAAAGTATATGCTCAACTATGTTCATGGCAGCATTGTTTGTAATAGCCAGAACCTGGAAACAACCTAGATGTCCTTCAACGGAAGAATGGATGAAGAAAGTATGGAATATATGCATATTAGAGTATTACTCAGCAGTAAAAAACAAGGACTTCTTGAATTTTGTATACAAATGGATGGAAATAGAAAACACTATCCTGAGTGAGGTAAGCCAGACCCAAAAAGAGGAACATGGGATGTACTCACTCATATTTGGTTTCTAGCCATAAATAAAGGACATTGAGCTTATAATTCACGTTCCTAGAGAAGCTAAATAAGAAGGTGAATCCAAAGACAAACACATAGGCATCCTCCTGAATATTAACCTTCATCAGGCAATGAAAGGAGACAGAGACAGAGACCCACATGGGAGCACCGGACAGAAATCTCAAGGTCCAAATCAGGAGCAGAAGGAGACTGAGCACGAGCAAGGAACTCAGGACCACGAGGGGTGCAGCCACACACTGAGACAATGGGGATGTTCTATCGGGAACTCACCAAGGCCAGCTGGCCTAGGTCTGAAAAAGCATGGGATAAATCCGGACTAGCTGAACATAGCGGACAATGAGGAATACTGAGAACTCAAGAACAATCTCAGTTGGTTTTTGATCCTACTGCACGTACTGGCTTTGGGGGAGCCTAGGCAGTGTGGCTGCTCACCTTACGAGACCTGAATAGAGGTGGGCGGTCCTTGGGCTTCCCACAGGTCAGGGAACCCTGATTGCTCTTCAAGCAGATGAGGGAGGGGGGCTTGATCGGGGGAGGGGGAGGGAAATGGGAAGCGGTTGCGGGGAGGAGGCAGAAATCCTTAATAAATAAATAAATTTAAAAAAAAAAGAAGTGTGTATGTGTGTTTTGCCAGCATGTATGTCTATGTACCACTTGCATGGGACCTGTGGATACCAGAAGAAGGCATTAGATCCCCTGGGAGTGGAGTTACAGATGGTTGTGAGCCACCATGTGGTTGCTGGGAATCGAACCTGGGTCCCCTGGAATAGCACCCCGTGTTCTTAACTGCTGGGGAGTCATTTCTCCAGTCAATCTCTAGGACTGTTTTGTATTCAAATTCATTTCCATCTTCTTGATTCAAAGCTGGTAGTTTTAACTTCATACATTATAGTGAAGATTCTGGGACCAGAAATTCACAAAATGGAGCTACAGTTTTGAGAAGCTACAGTCAAAGCCATGTCTAGTCTAGAGAGTTGGAAGGAAATGGTGGCTCCAAGACAAAGTCCTCCAAGTGTTTCCCCAGCTGCAGAGCTCCAGTCCGCGGGTCTTTATCTAGCCAGTTAGCTGCGAGATTTTCTTCTTCAACTCATTCTACTTTCAGAGCTGATGTATCCGTGGAATGCTATGGGGTCCTCCCTTCCCCAGCCCGGAATTCAGTCTCCAGAGAGGCAGCAGGAAAGTTTTGGGTTATGCTGGCTAGTTTTATGTCAACTTGACACAAGCTAGTCATTTGGAAAAGGGAACCTAAGTTGGGGAAATCAGCTTGTGCACAAACCTGTGGTACTTTTTCTTGACTTACGGTTGATGTGGGAGGCCCAGCTCATGGTTAGGGGTGCCACCTTTGGGCAGGTGGTCCTGGGTTCTGTAAGAAAGCAGGGTGAGCTAGCCATGAGGAGCAAGCCAATAAGCCCCACTCTTCCATGGGCTTTGCTCCAGTTCCTGCCTCCATGCTGATGCCTTGAGTTCCTAGCCTGACCTCCTTTGATGATGGTCTGTGATGTAGAAGGGAAAGTGAAGTAAACCCTTCTCTTCCCAAGTTGC